TTTCCCAATCCCTTATCTGGCCCCCTGAGTGGCCTGATATCCACCTGCCCCATCTGTTCAGCTTCATGCCACTGTACTCTGGTTTACCACACTCCTCTACATGCCCCTCCCTGCCACGGTCAACATTTTGTAGTCATTTGTGGGGTTGATTCTGTCTTTCCATCAGTTGACAACTCCTGGCGGGGCGCCGTGGCTCACACCTGTAATCCCAGCCCTTTGGGAGGCCAAGGTAAGAGGATCGCTTGAGCCCAGGAGTTCGAGACCAGCCTGGGCAACATGGAGAAACCCCGTCTCTACAAAAAATAATTGGCTAGGCATGTTGGTAAACACCTTGGTCCCAGCTGCTTGGGAGGCTGAAGCAGGAGGATTGCTTGAGCCCAGGAGTTCAAGGATACAGTGAGTCATGATGGCGCCACTGCACTCCAGCCTGGGTGACAGAGGAAGACCCTATGTCAAAAAAAAAAAAGGCCAGGCAAGATGGCTCACATCTGTAATCCCAACACTTTGGGAGGCCGAGGTGGGTGGATCACCTGAAGTCAGGAATTTAAGACCAGCCTGGCCAACACATTGACTTCCATCTCTACTAAAAATACAAAAAAAAAAAAAAAAAGAGGCTGGGCTGGTGGTGCATGCCTGTAATCCCAGCTACTCGGGAGGCTGAGGCAGGAAGACTGCTTGAACCCAGAGGCGGAGTTTGCAGTGAGCCGGGATTGCACTACTGCAGTCCAGCCTGGGTGACAGAGCAAAACTCCGTCTCAAAAAAAACAAAACAAAAATTAGCCACAGGTATGCCCCTGTAGTCCCAGCTGCCTGTGAGGCTGAGGCAGAATTGCTTGAACCTGAGAGGCAGAGGCAGAAAAAAAGCTGAGGGCAGAGAGCGTACTTTTTGCTCAGTAAATACATGTTGCTTGGGGATCTTTGTGCTAATGATGGTGAGACATGGCTGTGGCCCTGCTAAGGCTTAGAATGTGTCTCCCCTAGGCCGACGCCCCCAACCCATCCCTCATCCCAGAGACTGATGCCGTGGGTGTGACCGTGGTCCTCATCACCTGCACCTACCACGGACAGGAGTTCATCCGAGTGGGGTACTATGTCAACAATGAGTACCTCAACCCCGAGCTGCGTGAGAACCCGCCCATGAAGCCAGATTTCTCTCAGGTGGGGTCTCTTTCCACTTCCTGTTTCCCATGGGGCAGTTCTTTATACTTGGGAGGAGTTCAGCCATGCAAATTGGGAGTCAAGGTCTCTTCATAAGGTTTTCAAGTAATGTTCAGTTCTTACAGTACTTAAAGCAGGAGAAAGAGCTCTTTGTTTCTCAAAGGCATGTCTTAGAGAATTAAGATTAGATAGGCAAGCCCAGGCAACATTGCGAGACCCTGTCTCTACCCAACAAAAAAATGAGCCAGACGTGGGTAGCGTGCTCTACTCTGGAGGCTGAGGTGGGAGGATCACTTGAGCCCAGGAGTTTGAGGCTGCAGTGAGCTCAGATCGTGCCAACACATTCCAACCTGGCCAACAGTGGGACTGTCCCTTTAAAAAAAAAAAAAAAAAAAAGATAGGTCCTGGGCCAGGCACAGTGGCTCACACCTATAATCTCAGCACTTTGGGAGGCCAAGGCAGGTGGATCACCTGAGGTCGGGAGTTTGAGATCAGCCTGGCCAACATGGTGAAACCTCATCTCTACTAAAAATACAAAAATGAGCTGGGTGTGGCACCATGTACCTGTAGTCCCAGCTACACAGGAGGTTGAGGCAGGAGAATCACTTGAATCCAGAGGCAGAGGTTGCAGTGAGCCGAGATTGCACCGTTGCACTCCAGCCTGGGCAACAAAAGCAAAACTCTGTCTCAAAAAAAAAAGAAAGAAAGAAAGAAAAGAAAAGATAGGTCCTGGCCCTAAATCATGGTACACATGTGTTTTCTGGAGTTCCACATGTCGGTCTGCTCTTGCTGGGCTTGAGATGAGTGATTGGGGGTGTCCTGGCTCAATGGGAGGCCAACAAGGACTGACATTCCTCTTCCTGCCCCAGCTCCAACGGAACATCTTGGCCTCGAACCCCCGGGTGACCCGCTTCCACATCAACTGGGACAACAACACGGACAGGCTGGAGGCCATAGAGAACCAGGACCCCTCCCTGGGCTGCGGTCTCCCACTCAGCTGCACTCCTATCAAGGGCCTAGCCTCCCTGGCTGCATCCCTGGCCTCCTCCCTGAGAACTCCATGGACTTCATCTAACTGCAGGAACTTAAGAGTGTCCCACCACACTGGTAGGGGCCACCCAGACCTCCCAGCGAGTCCTGCAGGGCCCATCTAGAGGATTTTGGGGGCCATCAGCTGCATCCAGGCCTGTCAAACTCAGTCCCTAGGAAAGAACAGGCCTCAGGTCTTCCCCAGTCCTGGCTGAGAAGGAGGATCTCACTTCTCCTGTACAGGCTTGTAAGAAACAGGTACTTCAGTTCTTAATTCTTTCTGACTTGTGTTCTTTTCGTCTTCTGCACACATCATCAATTCTACCTGAGGCCACTGTGCCACTGTGCACCCTTGAGTGCCACAGACCCAGAGCTTTCCCACAGACTTCCCTGGCCTGAGTAGGGACTTACCTACTTGGTCAGTGCCTGCCAAGTTTCTGGTCCTGCTAAGCCAAAGGCTCTGTCATTCCTTTCTCTTCCCACACATCTGAGCGGATCCACTCTAGCCTTTAGTGTCACAGGCAAGAAATCTTGGTCAGTAGGTAGACTCGGATCCCATTTCCATCCTGCTCCCAGGAAGATTCTTGGGTCTTCTTCAATCCAGCAGCCCCTGGAAAACTCTATTCCCAGAGGTATGATCAGCAGGATGCTGAGGAACCATGTTGCCTTTCCTGTCAATCACAGCCGCTTTCCTGTTATCTCCTAAAGGAATCTGGCTTTCCCTGGAGGCTGCCATGGTTGGAAGATGGTATCAGAGGGCCCTGGCTGTGCGGCCTGTCTCCGGGTCAGCCCTCTGCCTCTGGCTGCCTTAATTGCCCTCTGCTAAGACTAGGGTGACTTCTGGGAAATCAGGGTCCCAGGGAAACAACTGGGACCCTGAAAACCATCCCTCCCCAGCCCGTTCCCCTTCTCTGTGCCCTGGTCCCCTCTCTGCCATGTGGATGCTGTTGAGATTGCTGTTTGTATATTATTAAAATGTTTTTATATTAAAAAATATTTGGTCGGTCTGAAAATTTAAAGCACTTCGTTTAGAATGTTTGTGCTTTTGTCTCGGGTGGGCTGAGGCAACTAACTGTCCACTCTCCCCCAGAGGTGGCCTCTTGCGTGTTTAGTGGGTGGGCTGTCCCATATCTTCCCAGCTTCCCATTCCAGTCTTAATTGGTTCTACAGTTGTATTCCAGACAGGTTCCATTCCAGGAAAGGTTTTTCTTTGTCAAAACTTAAGCAAACCAGCTGTCCTGCATATAGATTATAATCAGTGATTTTTCAGACTTTGCCCTTGACCCACAGGAAGAAATAAACACCGTGATCCTAACACGCAAACAACACCGCTTTTGTTAAATTTTACTAAACCTTACCATGTAACCATCCAGAGGCGGAGTGGTCAGCCATTTCCCGGGAATCCATAGAAAGGCCCTGACCCTCCCCGGAACTGTGGTTGGCCTGGGACTGCGGGTGTGGGCTGTTCAAGTCTAACCAGCAGATGGGCTTGTAGTTCTGAGCCCAGCTAGCCCTCCCGAGTCCAGGTGACCTGCCTTCTCCCGTCCCCTGGCAGTGCCCCGGTCCCCTCGCTGCCATGTGGATGCTGTTGTGATTGCTGTTTGTATGTTAAAATGTTTTTTATATTAAAAATAATGTAAAAAGCACTCCTCATCAGTGCTTCTCAATCAGGAGCAGTTCTGCCCCGCAAGAGCACATTCACCAACGTCGGGAGACGGTGGTTGCCACGGCCAGCAGGAATAGGAGGGGCTACTAGCACCCAGTGGGTAGAGGCGGGGATGTTGTTTAACACCTAGTGGTGCACAAGACACCCCCCAGCAGAGAATGATCCAGCCCCACCTCCGCTGTCAGTAGTGTCGCAGTTGGGAAACCCAGACTGTCCTTGGCTAGGTGCGTACTGAAAGAGAATCCCGAAGGAAGGGGCAGGTTCCCTTTGCATTGCCCAGACAGGAAACAGACAGGGAATGGGAGTAGGGAATCTGCCTGGCTGTACCCCAGATTCTTCATCTGTGCAATGGGAGTGATGATGGTAGCACCTACGCGATGGGAGTATGGTGCAAAGGAGCGTTAAGTAGGTGCCAGCTCTTACTACTGGCAGGAGCCCAGGACTGGGGCCCAGCAAAGGGGTGGACACGGAGCGCCCCCTCTCAGCCACCCCTTGCGCCGGGGCCGGCATCCTCCTGCCTGCGGCTGGGAAAACCCAGGAGCCTCCGCGGCCTGGCCCCCAAGCAGGCCTGGCCACCACGACTGCCCAGCGCCAGGCCTTATGAATGACGCCGGCGGCGACCGGGCAACCTCTGACCCGCGCGCCGGCCGCTCTCCTCCCCCACTGGCAGGTGGACAGCGGCTGCGCCGGGCAGGCCGCGGCGCCAACCCCAGCTGGCCGACAGCCGCTGCCGCACTGGGCGGGGGCGGGGGACTGCGGCGTGCGCGGGGCCGGCCGGGCGCCCGCCGGAGCCGCCTCCTGAGCCTCCGAGTGCTGCGCGGCCGCCCGCCAGCCTCCGCCGCTCCGCCCAGCCGGCCGGGGCCCGCAGACTGCGCCTCCGCCCCGCCCTCTCACCCCCGGATTGACACTGAGCGTTCTACTGGGGGTTTGCGGGACAGCGCGCCTCCGCCAATCGGTGGCCTCGCGGGGCGGACCCCGGGCCCTTTCCAGCTTCTTGACCAATCAGACTCGTCTGCCCGCCCAGCTGCGGCCTCGCGAGTGTGTGAATGGCAGAGAGTCCCCGGTATACGTCACGAGGCTGAGAGCCTATAGCGGCGCGGCCTTCCCGAGGGATGACCAATGGACGACGGCGCGGAGCCGTCAGTCAGGGCGTCCTAGGCCAATGAGCGGCGGGCTGCGGGGGCGTCACGGACGGCAGCAGCGGACTTGGGCTGAGGTTCCCGGGCGGGCGGGCGCGGAGAGACGCGGGAAGCAGGGGCTGGGCGGGGGTCGCGGCGCCGCAGCTAGCGCAGCCAGCCCGAGGGCCGCCGCCGCCGCCGCCCAGCGCGCTCCGGGGCCGCCGGCCGCCGCCAGCACCCGCAACGCCGCAGCTCCGGGACCGGCCCCGGCCGCCGCCGCCGCGATGGGCAACGCCGCCGCCGCCAAGAAGGGCAGCGAGCAGGAGAGCGGTGAGTGCCCGGGCCGTGACCCCGATCCCGGCCCTGCGCTGCCAGCCCCGGCCTTGTCCATCACCGCCTGGCCCCTCCCCCCACGAGGCCCCCCCATTCCTCTCTGCCTACCCCCCAGCGCCCCTTGCCCCGGCCTGTCCAAGGCTGGGGCCCACGGGCCCGCAGAGTACCCCTTGTAGGGGTCCCCTTCCTCTAGGGCCGCCCCACACTGCAAAGACCGTGCTCCCCCCCAGCTGTCACTGCCAACCATGGCACGTATGACCGCTGGGGCCCCACACGGGGCCCTGACACCAGCCTACCCCTCCTTTCCTGGCCCCTCTCCCCAGATTCTAATCCCCCCCACTTCCTCACTCACCTCTCCCATGGGATCCTCTGCCTGACCCCGACCCAGGTTTCTGCCAGTTTGGGAATGAGATGGGGTCTCTCTGCCTCCACCGCGCAGGGACCTTGGCCACTTGGTGACCACACCCCTCCCCCCTCCAGCCCCCGCCATCTTTCTCCTGCCCTTCCCCTCTTCACCTTAGCACAGGCCCCCCTTCCAAACCCACCCTGCCCCCTGAGCTTTTCCCAGGCCCACCTCCAGCACTGTTTTTTTCTTCTGTGTCACTTGGCATGGGGGACAGGATCTTTCTGGGTCCCTCTGTCTCTCTCATCCTGTCACTCTGTCACTCTGCTTCTCTGCTTGTGCTCCGTCCTCCAAGGAAGCGTCTGTTCCTGGCTGGGTAGCAGACTGTTTATGAACCTAGAGAACTGCTTAAGTGCTTCCAAAGCCAAGTTTGAGCTGGTCTTGTTGGGATTCATTGCGTCGTCTTTCCTGCGTTGGGGTAGGGGGCGGTGCCAGAGCCCCCTCGCGGTTCCTGCCTTGCAGTGAGCCTTAGGCTCCTTGGAGGGCCTCTCAATAAATGGTTGTTTCCCAACTGAGGCTTCGTCATTCACCCAGTCCCTGGGGCTTCTTCCACCGCTCCTGGCTTGAGATGAAAAGTGTCTGGGTTTAGCGAGGTTCGTTCGCTTTGAATTGGGATGGTCAGAAAGAGCACTGGGGAGGTGGAGGCGGTCAAAGAGAGTAATGGGTGACGTCTAGTGATTTGTTTTGCCAAGGAACAAATAGATTCTGATCATTCCCAGCACTCAGCCAGGGAGAGACCTGTTTTACCCACTTGCCCCCAAATGCTGTTGGCCTTTTCCAGCCAGCCAGAGGAGATTCTGTATCTGGAAATACCCTCAGAAATGGTCTTAAAACCCATTCCCAGTGCTTCCAGCTCTTAAATTGTTCTCACTCCAGTCTGAAAGCTGGAAGGGACTGGGATCCCATCTGATTACCCAGAAATAGTTCGGAACTGAAAAGGCAGGCCAATTTTGGGTCTCAAACCCCAGCATCTGAGTTCTCGGAATGCCCCCTCCCTGAAAGGGATGAAAGCCAGGGAACTTTATTCCCATATGGATTCAAATAGCAGAACTCAGAGTCACAGAGCAACCATGAAGAGGCCTGACATGTCACCAATGGGAGGGGGCCGGGGAGGGAAGTGCCCATAGCTGAGTGCTTGATGACCGAGGAGCAGGTGGGTGGTGTCCAAAAAAGGTCCGGGCATGAGCTTGGAGGGGACTAGGCAGAGGGGGAGGAGCCAGGCCCCCAGCAGGTGAGGCCAGCTGGGAGGTGGAAGGTAGAGGCGGGCAGCAATGTATTGCGGTGGCTCCACTGGAAGTTGGGGAGATGACAGTCCTGTGAAACCTTCAAGGCTATCAGACACGTGGTCGGGGGTGGAAAGCCGCACAAAGAAAAGGATCCCAGGAAAAAGATCAGAGGCTCTGGAAGGAACCGCTGATTCTCTCAGGGCACAGGTCAGACACCCAGGAATGAATGATCACTGAAATAGAGCTACTATTTATTGGGCGTCTAGGCTGCACCACCGGCCAAATGGCCAGGCGGATAGATACATCTACTCTGGTGACTTTCATAACGGGCTGTTATCCAGATTTTCAAAGGAGCCCTCTGATATAAATGACATCCATGACGGGCCGAGCACAGTGGCTCATGCCTGTAATCCCAGCACTTTGGGAGGCCGAGGCGGGTGAATCATGAGATCAGGAGATCGAGACCATCTTGGTCATGGTGAAACCCCGTCTCTACTAAAATACAAGAAAATAAGCTGGGTGTGGTGGCGCACGCCTGTAGTCCCAGCTACTCGGGAGGCTGAGGCAGGGGAATCGCTTGAACCTGGGAGATGGAGGTTGCAGTGAGCTGAGATCGTGCCACTGCACTCCAGCTTGGCAACAGAGCAAGACTCCGTCTCAAAAAAAAAAGGAAGAAAGAAATGACATCCATGACATAGGTGATGTCACAGAGGCAGGATTCACATCCAGATCCATCTACCAGCAAACTTCCTGAATCCCAGAATTTCCCAACTCTGACATTCTTCAGCTGCCTCCCAGATTTTTACTTTTATCATATTTTCTTTAATTTAAAATAATAAAAATTTTTCTCACTTCTTTTCAGATGTAAACTTTGAGCTCTTTCTAAACAATAATATCAATGAAATCTTGGGTTTGCTATACCAGTTATATTTTCTCTGATACACATTAAAATACAGTGTAACTAGATAAATGAAACATACTGAAAATCATGTCATGTTCTGCCAATGGGACCATGTCACACTTTGGGAAACACCCGAAGCTGTACTTCCTCCCAGAGGCTCCCAGATAAGGAAATAAGATGAGGAAGGAAGTCCCTCTGCTTTGAGGCACTCTGATTCTGACAAGATGGAGTTAGACAAAATTTGCCCTCTTGTAAGGATGGGGCAGGGGCGGGGGCAGTAGCCAGGCCAGCCTGCAGGGGGCACCTGGATTTCATCTGCCAGATGCCGGCCCGACTAGGGTCAGGAGAATGTCCAGACCTTGGGAGGCACCAGTTAAGCATCCTGTAGTCAGTCCCCTGTGGTACCATCTTTTGTGCCAGGGCAGGACAGAGTCTGCCTCCTCCCAAGAAGGCAGGGGTCTAGCATGAGCCCTGGAGTGGAATGTGGGGAATCCGCACCCAAAGATGGCAAAGCCATGGGTAGAGCTAAAGAAAAAAGACTAAGCCCCAGGCTCTGGCCAAGCTGGAAGAATGGAGAGAGAGCAACGGCCCCAGGGGGCTGGTGCCCAGATCAGACAGCCAAGTGGGGCTCAGGTTGTGGCTGGTACTGGCTGAAGATACCCCTGGGACCTGGCCCACAGAGGAAGAGGTTAAAGGGAGCCACCCCAATCCCTGGGACACAAGCAGATCTTGGCAAAGAGAGAAAAGCACCCCCAAGAAGACCCTAGATAGGAAGAACTGGTGCCGTGTAACATCCCATGGATGCCTAAGACTGCCAAACGCCTTCTGTACCTTGGCAGTTGTATGGGTGCCCAAGAGGGTCTTGTGAAGGCAGCTTTCGCCTTAGCCCGAGCGCCTCTGCAGAAACTCAGAGGGTCCTATCTGTTCCTCCTCCTTACTCAGCTGTCTCTGGGTTGGGTTTTTCTTCCTGCTCCCACCCCACAGCTCCCTAGCTCCCCCTGTAGGCAGGGTTATGGGGATGGCCAGCCAAGCCGGCACGGCAGGTCTCATGAGCCTTCCCAGCCACCGTAGTCCTGGTGCCCAGAGAGCAGGACGGAATGATGGCTTCCAACTCCAGCAACGGTGAGGCAGAGCGGTGTTGCTATAGCAACTTCCCAGACACACTCCGTCCCTCAAATCAGGGAGGAGCTGCAGCGGGGTCTGGGGCGCAGGTGAAGAGGAGGATGTGGACCCCTGGCTGGCCCTGGAAATGCTTCCTGTACACCCCCAGCCTGTGCGGCCTGGGGAAGAGCAGAGGGGATGGGTTGCCCAGTTCAGCGAGGGAGTCCAGCTCAGAGAGGGATCGTGGGGCGGACCAGCCCAGTGTTGCGGATCAGCTCAGAATGTGAGACTGGCCATCCCAGTGTTGGTATCCACCTCAGACTGGGGATCATCCAGTCCAGAATGGGGGTCGTTCCAACCCAGTGTTGGGGTCCAGCTCAGACTTGTGGCATGGTAAGCCCAGAGCGGGGAATCCAGCTCCACTGGAGGAATCAGCCAGCCTGGAATAGGGTGGCCCAGCCCAGGCTGGGCATTCTTGCCCCAGAACTCCCAGGACAGCCATATTTCAAAGGTCAGAGGGTCTGAGATTGTTGTCTGGAGGAAGGGGGTTCTGAGGCTGGGCTCCTTCCGAGAGCGACCCCGAGCCCCTTGCCCAAATTGACATTCTGCTGTTGCAATTCCCCATTCCCAGGGCAAGTTTCTAGACTTCTGCTTTCTGCTGTGGTCTGGCTTTTGAAGGAGTATCTTGAGTTTTCTCTATCAGCCCAAGTAGAATCTGGACCAGAGTGGGAGCTGGCACCCCCTATATGGAAGATGTGGGCAGGGTGGCAGGTTGTATAGGCCAGCAGCTGACTGGGTTACCCTCCTCTGCCACTTCCTGTGGCTAGCAGGGATCCTGGGTGCCAGGCACTCTGAGAGAAGCTGCCACTGACCCTCCACTTCTTTTGGAATCTGGAAAGAAGGAGAAAGATGGTCAAGGCTGCTCCCCCTCCCCCAACCCTGGGTTTAGCCGCTCATTTCCGGTTTGGACTTTCATGGCCGAGAGTAGAGCCAAGCACAGGGCAAGGTTTGACAGAGGCCAAGGACATCCTGGGATGCCGTTCCCCTCTCTGCCCCCGCATAGGAGCAAAACAAAGAGCCGGACGTACCCATTTTCTCTCTGGGGATAGCAGGATTTGGGGGTTCCATGGTGAAAGGGAGTTCGGGGAGAAGGCATGGTGGCTCTTGTCTCCCCCCCCACCCCACCCGAAACCTTTCTTTACAGCTGTTCTTTCAGCAAATTAAGGGAGCTCTGGGACCATTTTAGCCCCCAGGGAGTCTCTGACTGTTTCGTGATCCTGAACCTTAACTCCTTCCCCGCCGCCCAGTGGGCGCTGCTCTGGGCACGTCGGGCGCTGTCCTCTGGACAGTCCCATGCCCACTGAGGAAGGCCAGGCCTGGCATCCCTTGAGCAGTGAAGTCCCTGGAAAGGGAAGTTAGCTTTATCACTCTGCCCCAGGACATGCAGGCCAGTCAGAGGGACACCCTCGGGAGACTCTTCCCATTGCCTCCTGCCAAGGAAGCCCTCTGCAAACCTTGGCCAGCTTGGAGCAGGTACCTTTAAATGCTTCTGTGGCAACCAGCTCCTCCTCCCTGGTCCCCCGAGGCCTTTCCAAGGAAGCTGACTTAGAGGCTCTGCATTTTCCTGGTTTCTCAGCAAAAGGAAGATTCCAGGGAGAGCCCGGGGGGGCTGGGGATGGACCTGGGATCAGGCAGCAGCCAGAGCGAGGACTCGGAGACCACCTTCCAGCTGTGGCTGCAGTTGCTCCTCTGGGTCCACCTGGCTGTCCGTTTCCTGAGTTACCTGCACCACACCTTCCGGGAGCCTAAGCCAAAGCCAGCACCCTGAGCCTCCCTGGCCAGGGAGCAGGAGGCCCCCAGGTCACCCCATCCCAACTACCCTTTATTCCACCCTCTGCTGGAAGAGACAGGAAGCAGAGGTGAGTGGGGGGGCTCGTGATGGAGGTTACCCCCCCATCATCCCTCTCTGTCTCCTACTCCTCCTGGCACTGGCCTCCCCCATGCCCCATCCCCAAATCTGACAAGCTAACAGGGCCATAGTGGCACCAGAGGGGACAGAGCCTGGGCACGCCTGTCCTTTGAGAGGCCAGAGAAGGGCGGTGCTAAGAGCAAGGCACCCTGTGGAGCCACTCCATGGAGCACCAGTGGACAGCCAGAGGCTGGGCACTCAGAGTCAGGGAGCACCAGCAGACAGCCAGAGACTGGGCACTCAGAGTCAGGGAGCACCAGCAGACAGCCAGAGGCTGGGCACTCAGAGTCAGGGAGCACCAGCGGACAGCCAGAGGCTGGGCACTCAGAGTCAGGGAGCACCAGCAGACAGCCAGAGGCTGGGCACTCAGAGTCAGGGAGCACCAGCAGACAGCCAGAGGCTGGGCACTCAGAGTCAGGGAGCACCAGCAGACAGCCAGAGGCTGGGCACTCAGAGTCAGGGAGCACCAGCAGACAGCCAGAGGCTGGGCACTCAGAGTCAGGGAGCACCAGCAGACAGCCAGAGGCTGGGCACTCAGAGTCAGGGAGCACCAGCAGACAGCCAGAGGCTGGGCACTCAGAGTCAGGGAGCACCAGCGGACAGCCAGAGGCCCTGCGCTTAGAGTCAGGGAGGTGGAGGATTCAGCAATTCTTTCCTTTTTGTTAAGAGAAAAGGGAAAACAGACCAGGCCTTTTGGATTCCTTTCAAGCCCAGCGCCTCTCTGCCTTCTTGTGTGGGTGAAGGTAGAGTCCCAGGAGGGTACCCTCCACCCTCCCCACTCAGTGCTGAGTTCTATATGGATTATTTGGAGGTTTCCAAGGAAGATGTTTTGTGTCACAAAGGTTCTGTTTGTGAGGCCGGGCGTGGTGGCTCACACCTGTAATAGCAGCACTTTGGGAGGCTAACATCAGACGAATCCATTGAGGCCAAAAGTTGGAGACCAGCCTGGGCAACATAGCGAGACCCCATCTCAAAACAAAACACACAAACGTTCTGCTAGTGAAAGCACTGGATTCGGTGCAGCCACCAGGCTCAGAGAGGCTGCTGGGCTAGTTGGTAGCCCAGCCAAACACCCACCTAGGATTCCTGGCCCTTCACTGCCTGTCCCCTCTTGGCCCAGTCATTCTTTCTGGGGCCTTCTTGACCACAGTCTTTCTCCTCCCCAATCTGCCACTTTTTTTTTCCTTTTTTGGGATGGAGTCTCATTTTGTCACCCAGACGGGGTGCAGTGGCGTGATCTCAACTTACTGCAACCTCCACCTCCCGGGTTCAAGCAATTCTCCCACTTCAGCCTCCTGAGTAGCTGGGATTACAGGCGTACACCACCATGCCCAGCTAATTTTTGTATTTTTAGTAGAGATGGGGTTTCACCACATTAGTCACGCTGGTCTCGAACTCCTGACCTTGTGATCCATCCGCCCGCTTCAGCCTCACAAAGTGCTGGGTTTAAAGGCGGGGAGCCACTGCGCCTGACCCAGTCTACCACTTTCTTTCTTTTTTTTTTTTTTGAGACGGAGTTTCACTCTTGTTACCCAGGCTGGAGTGCAATGGCACGATCCCGGCTTACCACAACCTCCGCCTCCTGAGTTCAAGCAATTCTCCTGCCTCAGCCTCCTGAGTAGCTGGGATTACGGGCATGTGCCACCATGCCCAGCTAATTTTTTTATTTTGAGTAGAGACGGGGTTTCACCTTGTTGACCAGGATGGTCTCGATCTCTTGACCTTGTGATCCACCCTCCTTGGCCTCCCCAAGTGCTGGGATTACAGGTGTGAGCCACCGCGCCCGGCCGCAGTCTACCACTTTCTAGCCCAGTGAGGGCTCTGCTCTCTAAATGCTGAGGGAGAGCCTTGGGGACAAGTAGTGAGGGTGGTTCCCCCTTCTCAGAAGACCATGTGGGATTCCTGGCAGGTAGACGACCAGCAGTCCCAAAGTGCAGATGCATGGGGCCCCTCAGAGTGGTAGCAAACCCAGGAACATCAGGGGGTTGAAGACAGCTCTGCCCACATTGGCCACCCTGGTGCACTAGACTTGGTGCTGAAACCAGCGGCTGAGTTGGCAGTGAAATAGTTAATCTCATGGGAAGTTGGGGCAGGCAGGTGACCGCAGACCTGATCAGTCTTCTCCTGTGTACAGTGGGAATAACAGCAGCTCCCACCCCATAGGGTCAGAACAAAGCATAGAAAACACAGTGAGGGCTGGTCCCTTGTAGCCCTAGGTGGTGGTTAAAAGGACAAGTCCATAGTGTAAGAATCTCTCAGGCTGCACATTTAAAATTCGAGCACTCAATGTATCCCCTCATTTGTTTTCTTATTATTATTACTACTTTCTTTTTTGTTTGTTTGTTTGTTTTGAGACAGGGCCTCACTCTGTCATCCAGCCTGGAGTGCAGGCTCAGCCACGGCTCACTGCAGCCTCGACCTCCCGGGCTTGAGCAGCCCTGCCACCGCTACCTTCTGAGTAGCTAAAGCTACAGGTGCCCACCACTACACCCAGCTAATTTATTTTTTATTTTTTAGTTTTTTGAGATGGAGTTTCCCTCTTCTTGCCCAGGCTGGAGTGCAATATCACAGTCTTGGCTCACTGCAACCTCCACTTCCTGGGTTCAAATGATTCTCCTGCCTCAGCCTCCCAAGTAGCTGGGATTATAGGCATATTCCACCACGCCCGGCTAATTTTTATATTTTTAGTAGAGACGGGGTTTCACTATGTTGGTCAGGCTGGTCTCGAACTCTTACCTCAGGTGATCCACCCACCTCAACCTCCCAAAGTCCTGGGATTACAGGTGTGAGCCACCGCACCTGGCCAATGCTTTTTATTTTTTGTAGAGACAGGGTTTTGATGTTGTCCAGGCTGGTCTTGGGCTCCTGTATTCAAGCAATCCCTCCATCTTGGCCTCCCAGGGTATAATTATTTTTTTGAGACAGTCTCACTGTGCCGCTGAGGCTAAAGTGTAGTGGTATGATCACAGCCCACTGCAACCTCAATCTCCCAGGCTTTAAATGATCTTCCTGCCTCAGCCTCCTGAGTAGCTGGAACTTTTCTGAGACAGAGTCTTACTCTGTCCCCCAGGCTGGAGTGCAGCAGCATGATCTCCACTCACTGCAACCTCCACCTCCCAGGTTCAAGAGATCTTCCTGCCTCAGCCTCCCAAATAGCTGGGATTACAGGCACCCACCACCATGCCCGGCGAATTTTTGTATTTTTAATAGACATGGGATTTCACCATGTTGGCCAGGCTGGTTACAAACTCATGACCTCAAGTGATCCAACCGCCTCGGCCTCCCAAAGTGCTGGAATTACAGACATGAACCACCTTGCCCCGTCTCTCCCCATATTTATTTATTTATTTATTTTTGCTTTTTTATTTTTATTTTTCTAAGACTCAGTCTCACTCCTGTCTGCCAGTCTGGAGTGCAATGGTGCAATCTTGGCTCACTGCAATCTTCACCCCGTGGGTTCAAGCAATTCCCCTGCCTCAGCCTCCCAAGTAGCTAGGATTACAGGCGCCTGCCACCATGCCTGGCTCATTTTTGTATATTTGTTTAGTAGAGATGGGGTTTCACCATGTTGGCCAGGATCATCTTGAACTCCTGACCTCAGGTGATCTGCCCGCCTCGGCCTCCCAAAGTGCTGGGATTACAGGCATGAGCCACCACATCTGCCCTTTTAAAAATTATTTATTTATTTAATTATTTTTTCCAAGACCAAGTCTTGCTGTTACCTAAACTGGAGTGCAGTGGTGCGATCTCGGCTGACTGCAAACTCCGCCTCCTGGGTTCAAGCAGTTCTTCTGCCGTAGCCTCCTGAGTAGCTAGAATTACAGGCATGTGCCACCATACCTGGGTAATTTTTTTTTTTTTTTTTGAAGACAGGGCCTTGCTCTGTCACCCAGGCTAGAGTGCAATGGTGTGATCTCAGCTCACTGCAACCTCTGCCTCCTGGTCCAAGTGATTCTCCTGCCTCAGCCTCCCTGGTCCTAGTGATTCTCCTGCCTCAGCCTCCCAAGTAGCTGGGATTACAGGTGCGTGCCACCATGCCTGGCTAATTTTTTTGCACTTTTGGTAGAAACGGTGTTTCACTGCATTGACCAAGCTGGTCTTGAACTCCTGACCTAGTGATCCACCTGCCTCAACCTCCCAAAGTTCTGGGATTACAGACATCAGCCACTGTACCTGGCCTGTCTTCCCATATTTTATACTTCAATTAAAAAATAGTAGGCCAGCACGATGGCTCACATCTGTAATCCCAGCACTTTGGGAGGCCAAGGTGGGCAGATCACCTGAGGTCAGGAGTTTGTGACAGCCTGGCCAACATGGTGAAACCCTGTCTTTACTAAAAATACAAAAGTTAGCCAGGCATGGTGGTGGGTGCCTGAAATCCCAGCTACTCAGGAGGCTGAGGCAGGAAAATCGCTTGAACCCAGGAGGCAGAGGTTGCAGTGAGCGGAGATCACACCACTGCACTCCAGCCTGAGCGAGAGAGCAAAACTCTGTCTCTAAAAAATAAATAAATAAATAAATAAAATAATAATAGCTGACATTTATCTGGCACTAACATCATGTGGGCCACTGTCTAACCCCCTTTGCCAAGATGAACTCGTTCATTCCTCAAAACTACCCCATTTTGCAGATGAGGAAAACTGAGGCCTAGAGAGGTAAGATCAGTTGCCCAAAGTCATGAAGTTCATCGGAGACCAGGCTGGGCTCTGAACTGGATCTTGTCTCCAGGTCTTGGCCCACAGCTGCTTTGCTGGGCTGTGTCTCAGCAGAGATGAGAATGACGGTTTTCAAGCCTGTTTCCTGGGTTGCTAAATGGAGGCCGTGGATACAAGACAGGCTGGCAAGGCATTCAGATGAGACAGTGTGGACAGCGGCCGGCCGGGGAACTTTCAACATTAGCTGGGTGGCGATGTTCACCTTGGGGTGCCGTGGGGCCGAGGAGTGGGCATCGGGAGGGACTTCCCTTGAACCAGCTCTGGAGCAAAGCCCTTGGGATTGGCACAGAGAGAACAGGGCCAGCTGGGGGCCAAGGTGACAGCTGAGCCCCCCAAGGGCGCCTGCTACCCGAGCCCCTGAGGCCTCCACCCCAGGCCCGGCCTCCCCAGAGAAGGCGCTGGAGGAACCGCCAAATCCCAAGGCTATAAATACCCCAGCTGGCGCCGGCCCTGGCCGTGGAATGTCGGTCAGAACTGGGGCGAGTGGGGGTGGGCTGGCCTGCCTGGACGCCTCTCTCTGTTCCCCTGGGAGTGACCCCCTGAGACTCTCTGTACCCCACTTTGCATGGAGTGGTGTTTGGATCCCACCTCTCTGGAGCAAGGGAGGCCCAACCAGGGCCCTGAGAGGCACCAGAACCTCAGGTTCCCGGTTGAGGCAGCTGCACCCCACTTTCTACCAAGTATCTCCCCAGAAATCACCTGAACCCACCTCGGCGCGACGGGGTTCTCTAACTCTCCCTTCTCTCCCTTTCAGTGAAAGAATTCTTAGCCAAAGCCAAAGAAGATTTTCTTAAAAAATGGGAAAGTCCCGCTCAGGTAAGGCTGCCAGGTGCAGAGCCCAGGGAGGGAGGGGTGAGCTGGTGACCCCCCAGTCCCCTGGCTGTGTCCCTGTGACACAGCTAGAATTTCAGGAACCCCGTGGAAGGCTCCACACCCTCCCCATTGACTCCCTAGGTGCCCATGGGGGCTCCTGCATGGAGACACCTGACTGCCGAATCCCAGGCACCCCTATCCCACCACCCCTTCCAACGGCCCGCCCCTGCCCCCAGCACAGCTGCCAGCAGCTCCCGGGCCCTAGGCCAGAGCCGGATCTGGCCCCTGCCACCCGCCTTAAGGAATCTCTGCCATCTTGATTTTCCACCCCCTGTCCTCACCCCGCTCAGCCCATGTGCTCCCCGGGGCCCCCTCTGCCGGTGGTGGAGAGGATGCCCCAGACCTTAGCCCGGGAGGCTGCAGGGAGGGTATGCCCTGAGCCTGCTGACCCCTCTGCCGACAGAACACAGCCCACTTGGATCAGTTTGAACGAATCAAGACCCTCGGCACGGGCTCCTTCGGGCGGGTAATGCTGGTGAAACACAAGGAGACCGGGAACCACTATGCCATGAAGATCCTCGACAAACAGAAGGTGAGCCGGCCCGCCCCGCTCAGGTCCTGCCTGCCAGGCCTTGGCCTGGACTATGTCTACTCTTTGGAGTCCCCATTCCACCCATTCACTCACTTGCCTTTTTTGAGACAGTCTCACTCTGTCACTCAGGCTGGAGTGCAGTGGTACAATCTCAGCTCACTGCAACCTCCCCCTTCCGGATTCAAGCAATTGTCCTGCCTCAGCCTCCTGAGTAGCTGGGATTACAGGTGCCCACCATCATGCCTGGCTAATTTTTGTATTTTTAGTAGAGATGGTGTTTCACCATGTTGGCCAGGACGGTCTTGAACTCCTGACCTCAGGTGATCCACTTGCCTCAGCCCCCCAAAGTGTTGGGATTACAGGCATCAGCCACCGCACCTGGCCACTTGCTTTGTTTTCGGGGGAGGGGACAGGGTTTCATTCCGTTGGCCCAAGCAGGAGTGTAGTGATGCACTCAGAGCTCACTGCAGCCTGAACCTCCTGAGCTCAAGCGATCCTCCTGGTAGCTGGGACTACAAGCACACACTACCATGCCTGACAGGGGGTCTTGCTATATTGCCCAGGCTGGTCTTGAACTCCTGGCCTCAACTGATCCTCCTACCTCAGCCTCCCAAAGTGCAGGGATTACAGGCATGAGCCACCATGCCAGGCTCACCCACTATTCCCCTAATCCCCATAACATGCCATCTCCAGGGGTCAGAAGGGCCTTATTCTGCTTTCCCAAGGCTCCCTCTCCAGGCCAGCCATGGATTCGAAGCCAGGCACTGTGACACAGAGTCAGACACCAGCCCAAAGGGAGGAGGCCAAGAGCATTCTTGGGGGAAGTGGTGTTTACGTGGACTTTCTTCCTGCAAATATTTTTGTGACCTAACTTAATACCAGGCACTGCTATAAAGCAGCAATGTAACCAATAGAAATGTAACCCAAGCCACAGAAGTGATTTTACTTTACGGTTTGCTCCATCAAAAACAGTAAAAAGAGGCATGGTGGCGCACGCCTGCAGTCCCAGCTACTTACTAAAGAGGCTGAGGTGGGAGGGTCGTTTGAACTCAGCCTAGACAAAACAGTCAGACCCTATCTTGTAAAAAAAAAAACCTGTAATTAAAAAAGAAAGTGAAAGAAACTAGTGACATTCATGAAGTTCATTTTAATGACATGTTTTGGGTTGTTTTGTTTTGTTTTTTGAGAGAGTCTCACTCTTGTCGCCCAGGCTGGAGTGCAATGGTGTGATCTCATCTCACTGCAACCTCCACCTCCCTGGTTCAAGTGATTCTCCTGCCTCAGCCTCCCAAGTAGCTGGTATTACAGGTGTCCACCACCATGCCTGGCTAATTTTTGTATTTTTAGTAGAGATGCGGTTTTGCCATGTTGGTCAGGCTGGTCTCAAACTCCTGACCTCAGGTGACCCACCCACTTTGGCCTCCCATAGTGCTGGGATTACAGGTGTGAGCCTCTGCACCTGGCCTAATGATATGTCTGGTTGGTTGCCCAGGCTGGAGTGCAATGGTGCCATCTCAGCTCACTGCAACTTCCACCTTCCAGGTTCAAGTGATTTTCCTGCCTCAGCCTCCCAAGTAGCTAGAACTACAGGCATGCACCACCACGCCTGGCTAATGTTTGTATTTTTAATAGAGAAAGGGTTTCACCACCAGGCAAGGTGGCGCATGCCTGTAATCCCAGCAGTTTGGGAGGCTGAGGTCAGTGGATCACCTGAGGTCAGGAGTTCAAGACCAGCCTGGCCAACATGGTGAAACCCCATCTCACTGAAAATACAAAAATGAGCAAAAAACAAAATTATCTGGACATGGTGGCGGGCACCTGTAACCCCAGCCACTTGGGAGGCTGAAGCAGGAGCATTGCTGGAACCCAGGAGGCAGAGGTTGCCATGAGCCTAGATTGTGCCATTGCACTCCAGCCTGAGGGATAGGGTGAGACTCCATCTCAAAAAAAAAAAAAATGAGAAAGGGTTTCACCATGTTGGCCAGGCTAGTCTTGAACTCCTGACCTCAGGTGATCTGCTCACCTCAGCCTCCCAAAGTGCTGGGATTATAGGTGTGCGCCCCCGCACCCGGCATGATGTGTTTGAATTAAGCCAGTATAGCTATAGTGTCACCATTTTCATAGAATATCAATGTGAAATATCATTAATGAGACAGTTTACATTCCTTTAGGTTTTTTTCCAGTCCTCCATGATTTTGGAAACGTTTTCTCTTTCTCTGTACCAAAGTATCTTTAAAACCAGTGTCCACCGTATGCGTACAACAGGTCTCCACTCTGATGGTAAATTCTCCCTGGAAAGATGAGAAAAAATAGAGAAGTTGAAAAGCAGATTCACGTGCCCAAGATGTTCCAACCATGCCTGAAAGTCACCCAGTCCCTACATCAAGCGTTCCATTTTTATTTGTTTTTGAGACAGAGTTTCGCTCTTGTCGCCCAGGCTGGAGTGTAATGGTGCGATCCCAGCTCACTGCAACCTCTGCCTCCTGGGGTCAAGCAATTCTCGTGCCTCAGCCTCCCAAGGAGCTGGAATTACAGGTGGTTCACCACCATGCCCAGCTAATTTTGTATTTTAGTAGAGATAGGGTTTTGCCATGTTGGTCAGGCTGGTCTCAAACTCTTGACCTCAGGTGACCCATCCACTTTGGCCTCCCAAAGTGCTGGGATTACAGGCATAAGCCACTGCAGCTGGTCTAATGATATGTTTATTTGTTTGTTTGGTTTTTTTTTTTTTTTTTTTTTTGAGACGGAGTTTCGCTCTTGTTGCCCAGGCTGGAGTGCAATGGCATGATCTCGACTCACCGCAACCTCCCCCTTCTCGGTTCAAGTGATTCTCCTGCCTCAGCCTCCTGAGTAGCTGGGGCTACAGCATGTGCCCCCACGCCCAGCTAATTTTGTATTTTTTTTTTTTTTTTAGCAGAAACAGGGTTTCTCTATGTTGGTCTGGTTGGTCTCGAACTCCCTACCTCAGGTGATCCGCCCGCCTTGGCCTCCCAGACTGCTGGGATTATAGGCGTGAGCCACCGCACCAGCCTATGTCTGGTCTTTTAAACTGGTATCCTCCCAGTGTGGGCCTCTAGGACTCCTATTTTGATTCCGTGAGAGACTAGGTGCCAGGTACCTGCTCAAGTCATGTGCTGTAGGGGACAGCTGATGGCTGAGGTTCATGTTGCTGTGTGGAATGTTCTAGACAATGGAAAGGCAGTTCCTAAATCCCTCACCTCTTGGTCTTCTCCTGCCTGTCTTTTCAATTTCAGCTCAGCTGCCCCTTCCTCCAGGAAGCCCTCTCTGGTTCCCTCTCCCCCAAACCATGCCAGGTACTTTATGTGGGCTCCTTAGGGGCTGCTGCTTCTCCACAAGCCCAAGATGCCTGCCATCATGGCTCTGACCTCTCTGGGGGTAACCATGTATTCTTTGCCCTGAACTCTGAGCCATGCAAGAACAAGCAGCCTCTAGCCTCCCTTACACTGTGTCCTCAGCATCAGCCACGGGCCCAACAGGCCACAGGCATGCAAATGATTCTGGCTGAAGGACCCAGCCAGGCCCTGGCACCGCTAGTTCCAGGCATCAGGGGAAATGAGGCCCCTCTCACCTCTCCTTCCTCTCTGCCCTCCCCTCCTACCCTTCCCAGGTGGTAAAGCTGAAACAGATAGAACACACCCTGAATGAAAAGCGCATCCTGCAAGCCGTCAACTTTCCGTTCCTCGTCAGACTGGAGTTCTCCTTCAAGGTGGGGTCCCCGCAGCCAAGGGACGGGGTCACTGCATTGGGTCCTAGCCTTCCGGCCCCCAGGGCTAGGGTCAGAGCTGAGGACAATCAGTGGCCACCCACTTTTGTGGAAGAAGATCGCTGGAGGAGGGAGACCAGGGGATGGGAGTCAGGCTGGGACTCTGGTGGACCCCACTTCAGTTCCTGGACTGGCCAGTTTGTAGTTAATTCCCTTGGCAAGTTACCGAACCTCAATAACATCCCTCAAAATCAGCACCTGGTTTACAGCAAGAGCCTGACCCACAGCCAGGAGCACAAACTTCGCCCCAGGCAGCCAGGATTCAGTTCCCAGCTCAGTACTTCCCGATGTGTGGCCCTGAGCAAGGGACTTCTCTCCCTGAGCCTCAGTGTTCTCATCTGTAAAATGGGGATCATACCAGTTCCAGCCTGGTGGAGTTTCGACAGTTCCAGCCACATCTTGAGTACCCTTTGGGAGCCATTTTGGGAGCCATCCAAGGCTGTGATCATGAGAAACAGGAGAGACCACTCAGGGCCAATTTCATTGCTGCTTGACCCAGAGAATCACAAGGGCCTGCGCTTCAAGGGACCCCACACCTGGTTTAATGCTTTGCCGCTGCTGCTCCTGCTACCTTGAGACCCTTAATAATTTTTTTCTCTTTTTTTTTTTTTTTTTTTTTTTTTTGAGACAGAGTCTCACTCTGTTGCTCAGGCAGGAGTGCAGTGGCGTGATCTCAGTTCACTACAACCTCCACCTCCCGGGTTCAAGCAATTCTCCTGACTCAGCCTTCTGAGTAGCTGGGATTACAGGTGCATGCCACTATGTCCAGCTAATTTTTGTATTTTTAATAGAGATAAGATTTTGCCATTTTGCTCAGGCTGGTCTCAAACTCCCGACCTCAAGTGATCTGCCCGCCCTGGCCTCAGCCACTATGCCCAGCCTAATTTTTTTTTTAAGGCAGAGTCTCACTCTGTCACCCAGGCTGGAGTGCAGTGGTGTAATCACAGCTCACTGCAACCTTCACTTCCCGGACTGCAGCGATCCTCCCACCTCAGCCTCCTGAGTAGCTGGAACTGCAGGTGCACACCATGATGCCCAGCTAATTTTCGTATAGACAGGGCTCTTACTGTGTTACCCAGGCTGGTCTCAAACTCCCAGGCTCTAGCGATCCACCCACCCCGGCCTCCCAAAGTACTGGGATTATACGGGCATGAACCACCACACCTGGCCCTCTGTAATAATCTTTCTAACAAGGGTCACCTTTTTAATTTTGGGCCCCACTAATTCTGCAGCCCATCATGGTCCTGCTTTACAGATGACAAAACTGTGGCCTCAAAGCCTTACTCAAGCTCCCAGAGCAAGCTACTTCGGAGTTCTCTCTCTCCAGCCAGGGCAGGCTAGCCAGGTCCCGACATACCACTGAGTCAGCCCTCGCCTTCACCTTTATGACAGTAGGATGAGGGTCAACCGTGCTTCCTGGGCAGAATGAAATGCAACATGTGGGTTCAGCCAGCAAAGCACCTGGTCCCTAGAACATGATTCCTATGGGGAGCCAGGATCCCTGTTGTCATTTAATGTTGAACACCAGCCAGGGAGGCCCCAAGGCCTTCAGATATGGTGGGAGGTTCAGGGAGTGGGCTCCTGATCAGCCGCTGCCTCCCACAGGACAACTCAAACTTATACATGGTCATGGAGTACGTGCCTGGCGGGGAGATGTTCTCACACCTACGGCGGATTGGAAGGTTCAGGTAAGCGGGCCACCCCCCCATCACACCAGGCTGTCAGGGGTCCACAGGTGGCAGTGCACGACCAAGACCCCTGGGGATGCAGAGGAGTCCAGCATGCTTGAACACGCAAGTGAGCTCCCAGAACTCTGTGGGTTTCTGCTTCCCCTATGCTGAGAAATGAGTGATACTTCAACCACCACAAAGCCAAACAGAGCAAACATGGCAACTTAGGTGTCCAGATTGAAGCTGGTGCCAGGCGCAGTGGCTCTCGCCTGTAATCCCAGCACTTTGGGAGGCCGAGGCAGGCAGATCACCTAAGGTCAGGAGTTCGAGACCAGCCTGGTCAACATGGTGAAATCCTGTCTCTACTAAAAATACAAAAATTAGCTGGGTGGGGTGGTGGGTACCTGTAATCACAGCTACTTGGGAGGCTGAGGCAGGAGAATTGCTTGAACCCTGAGACAGAAATTGCATTGAGCTGAGGTTACACCACTGCACTCCAGCTTTGGTGACAGAGCGACATGCCATCTCAAAAAAAAAAAAAATTGGCCAGGTGCAGTGGCTCACGCCTGTAATCCCTGCACTTTGGGAGGCCGAGGCAGGTAGATCCACCTGAGGTCAGGAGTTCGAGACCAGTCTGGCCAACATGATGAAACTTGTCTTTACAAGTTACAAAAAATCTTGTGTCTTTACAAGATACAAAAAATCAGCCAGGCATGTTGGTATGCACCTACAATCCCAGTTACTCAGGAGGCTGAGGCAAGAGAATGGCTTGAACCCGGGAGGCAGAAGTGGCGGTGAGATCATACCACTGCACTCCAGCCTGGGGCAACAAGAGTGAAACTCTGTCTTAAAAAAAAAATTGCAGTTGGTGATTTTGTGCATTTTTTTTGAGCCCCCAAAAGTGGCATGCATCTGTAGTCCCACTATTCTTGAGGCTGAGGCCAGAAGATCACTTGAGCTCAAGAATTTGAGGTTGGGCACAGTGGCTCACCTCTGTAATCCCAGCACTTTGGGAGACCGAGGTGGGCGGATCATGAGGTCAGGAGTTCGAGACCAGCCTGGCCAACATGGTGAAACCCCATCTCTACAAAAAAAAAAAAAAAAATAAGGCTGGGCATGGTGGCTAACGCCTATAATCCAGCACTTTGGGAGGTCGAGGCAGGTGGATCACAAGGTCAAGAGATCGAGACCATCCTGGTTAACATGGTGAAACCCTGTCTCTACTAAAAATACAAAAATTAGCTGGGCATGGTGGTGCAAGCCTGTAGTCCCAGCTACTCGGGAGGTTGAGGCAAGAGAATTGTTTGAACCCAGGAGGCGGAGGTTGCGGTGAGCGAGATCATGCCATTGTGCTCCAGCCTGGGTAACAAGAGTGAAACTCCATCTCAAGAAAAAAAGAATTAAAAAAAAAAAAAAAGAATTTGAGACCAGCCTGGGCTACATAGTGAGATTTTGTCTCTTTTTTTAAAAAAAAATTATTTTATTTATATAGATCAACAGTTTTATATGTATAGATTTTAATGTATATTTTTATACATAAAATAAAACTATATACATAAATGTGTAACTTTAAGACACAGGCCGGTACTGTGGCTCACACCTGTAACCCCACTTTGAGAGGGCAAGGTGAGCAGATCCCTAGAGCCCAGGAGATTGAGACCCGATCTACACAAAAAATAAATTTAAAAAAATTAGCCAGGTATGGTGGCACATGCCTGTAGTCCCAGCTAGTGGGGACACTGAGGTGGAAAGACACGCTGAGCCTGGGAGGTCAAGACTGCAGTGAGCCACGATCACACTACAACACTCCAGACAGGGTAACAGAGACCCTGCTCAAAGAAAAAAAATTTTTTTAACTTACAAACTTGTAAGTTTACAAATGTCATTTTGTTTTATTTTATTTCTTGAGATAGAGTTTCGTTCTTGTCACCCAGGCTAGAGTTCGGTGGCACGATCTCGGCTCACCGCAACCTCTGCCTCTCGGGTTCAAGCGATTCTCCATCTCAGCCTCCTGAGTAGCCTGGAGTACAGGTGCAGGCCACCTCACCTGACTAATTTTCATAGTTTAGTAGAGACGGGGTTTCTCCATGTTGGTCAGGCTGGTCTCAAACTCCTGACCTCAGGTGATCTGCACCCCTCGGCCTCCCAAAGTGCTGTGGTGACAGGTCTGAGCCATGGTGCTGGCCCTGTAGTTGTATTTTAGATAGATAGCTGTAGATTCACTTTATATACAATAAAATGCACAGATCTCCAGTGTTACATTCCACAAATGTTGACAGTTGTACACAGCCACCTAACCTCCATCCAAAACAGTATATGGAACTTTTTCTATCTCCCCAGAAAATTCTCTTGAATCCCTTCTTTTTCCCTCCATAATAAGCAAAGGTGGGGTCTTGCTGTACTGCCCAGGCTGGTCTCGAACTCCTGGGCTCAAGCGATCTGCTCACCTTGAGCCCCCCAAAATATTGGGATTACAGGCGTGAGCTAATGTGCCCGACTGACTCCCTCTCCTGACACGTCAGGTCCCCGACAAAGGCAGTCATCCTTTGACTTCAAACACCGTGCCTTTGTTTTGTCTGGGTGTGGACATGACATAAATGGAATCATTCGTGTTCTTTTGTGTCTTCTCTTACTTAACATAATCGGTTTGAAATGCAGCCACGTTGTGGAGTGGAGGCAGGCAATGTCCTGCTGGCGGTGGTGGTGCTGAGTGGAATTCCATTGTATGAATAGAGCTCAGTCTGTGATTCCATTCCCCTGTGGATGGACCTACAGGCTGTTTCCCAGGTCGGGCCACCTAAGAATCAGGTGCCTGGCCTTTCTGACAGCTGGACTGGGGGTGTCTTCCCCTGGGGGAGGCTCTGCAGGGCCACCTGCTAGACCCTTTGGGGCCTGGCCATTGACGTTCACCTCCCCGTTGTCCCCATCAGTGAGCCCCATGCCCGTTTCTACGCGGCCCAGATCGTCCTGACCTTCGAATATCTGCACTCGCTGGATCTCATCTACAGGGACCTGAAGCCAGAGAATCTGCTCATCGACCAGCAGGGCTACATTCAGGTGTCCACCAGGCCGGGCGAGGGGCAGCCCTGGGCAAGCCGTGGCCTGGCCCCTCCCTCCCTGCCAACTGCTTATTCTTGTGCCCACAGGTGACAGACTTCGGTTTCGCCAAGCGTGTGAAGGGCCGCACTTGGACCTTATGTGGGACCCCTGAGTACCTGGCCCCCGAGATCATCCTGAGCAAAGTAGGCGCCTCCCCAGCCCTCCCTTCCCCTGAGGCTGGCTCTGCTCGCTATCTCTCGCCCCCGCCTTACCCTGTTCCCTCCCAATCTCACTCCAGGGCTACAACAAGGCTGTGGACTGGTGGGCCCCTAGGGGTTCTTATCTATGAGATGGCCGCTGGCTACCCGCCCTTCTTCGCAGACCAGCCCATCCAGATCTATGAGAAGATCGTCTCTGGAAAGGTGAGGCCTGGATGAGGGGCACAGTCCTGAAAGAATGAGACAGTCCCTTCCCCGCTCGCCCATCCTACTCTCTGGGGAGCCCTGCTTGTTGTCAGAATCACCTAGAAGTTCCGTAAGTCAGGCCAGGTGGTGAAGCTGGATGTGCCAATACCATGAGCCCCCTGGCTGTCCAGCGCCAACCCCACGGTTCCAGAATCCCAGGGGCTTCCAAAATCCCGAGCCTCACGGGAACTTCCCTGCTGCAAAACACAAACCACCTTGCCAGGCGACCCTCCTCACCTCTCCTTGTCCCCGTCAGTGTGAGTTTTCGCAAGTTCCAAGATGTATTTGGTTCCCAGGTGCAGTCTGCAGCCTCACCAGGAAGGACCCTCGCTTAGGGTTTAAGGCCCATGCTTCCTCTCGAAAACACAGATTTGTCAAACTCTGAAAGTTCAGATGAAGGGTGGTAAAACCATGTAAGCTTGTATCTGTGACAGGTGCAAAGTGCCTGCCATCTGCCAGGCCCCAGATTCACCCCCCTCAGTCACACCCTGAGATGGTGGCACCCTCTGTAGGAGAGGTGAGGAAACTGGCTGGGAAAAGAGATGTGTCCTGACCAAGATCACACCTTAGTGAGTAAGAGGAGTCATCATAGGCACTGATGGCCAGAGAGGTTGGGGACCCCACCTCTGCCCTCAGCTCAGCCACCTTGCTGGGAGGACCCAGCCATCCTCCGACCTGGTCCAGCATCTCCTACATAGGAGCTTCTGGTCGGCCCAGAGGTCACCACACCCGGTGGGAGCACCCTCAGGCTCAGCCTGGGCCCAGTGCTGGCTTTGAAACTTTGGGGCTGGGTGCAATGGCTCACGCCTGTAATCACACCACCTTGGGAGGTGGAGGCTTGAGGCCAGGAGTTCCAGACAAGCCAGGGCAACATAGCCAGACCCCATCTCTTTAAAAATAAAATCTAAAAATTAGCTGGGGTGATGGTGCACCCCTAGTCCCAGCTAATCGGGAGGCTGAGGCAGGAGGATCATTGAGCCCAAAAGATCAAGGCTGCAATGAGCTGTGATTGCACCACTGCAATCCAGCCTGGGCTAAGAGCCAGATCCTGTCTTAAAAAAATTCAGGCAACTGGGGTTCTCTGGTTAGACACATAGCATCACTAAAAGGGAAAGATGGAGGCCAGGCACAGTGCCTCACACCTGTAACCCCAGCACTTTGGGAGGCCAAGGCAGGTTAGATCACGAGGTCAGGGTTCAAGACCAGCCTGGCCAAAATGGTGAAACCCCATCTCTACTAAAAATACAAAAAATTAACCAGGCATGGTGACGGGTGCCTATAATCCCAGCCACTAGGGAGGCTGAGGCAGAGAATTGCTTGAACCCAGGAGGCGGAGGTTGCAGTGAGCTGAGATTGCACCACTCCACTCCAGCCTGGGCAACAGAGCAAGACTCCATCTCTCAAAAAAAAAAGAAAAAAAGAAAAGGAAAGATGAGGCATTTGCCACTAGGCCGAATAGAAATTGCCAAGAAATGGCCCAGAGTGGGAAAAAATGGAGAAAAAGCCACAGAAGATCCCACAGGGGAAGACGCACATGATGCCCTTCTTTGTAGCATTTTCCAGTCCCCCGCACCCTCAGTGGTATATCTTCCTCGTGCAAGCCCTGAGAGGTTAAGGGCCATGGCCAAGGTCACACAGCATGTAAGAGGCACAGCAGGAACAAGAAGTCATTTCTTGCAACTATAACTCCAGTGACGACTTGTCTACAAGGCTATGTACTCAGAACGTTTGGGGAAGATTTCTACAAGAGTTGGGCTGGCTTTAAAGAATGGAAGAGACTTAGCTAGGCAGGGAGAGAGGGAAAAAACGTTTAACATAAGCATGACTATTTCAGAAGTCTACAGACCCCAGCACAGATGGCTTACGGCAGCAGTAGCTGAGAATGCAAGTTCTAGAGTCCCACAGACCTGAGATGGAATTGCCCCGTCCCACTCCTCAGCGTGACCTTTGAAGAGTTCTTTAACCCTTCCAAGCCTCAGTTTCCCCTTCTCTGAAATGGAAACCATAATAGCACTTGCCTTATGGTTGTTAAAGGGGACTCCTTTCCAGCAGGACTATTGCTGGGGAATTGGCTAGAAATGCAGACTTTTGGGCCAGCCACGATGGCTCACACCTGTAATCCTAGCACTTTGGGAGGCCAAGGTGGGTGGATCACCTGAGGTCAGGAGTTCGAGACCAGCCTGACCAATATGGCAAAACTCTGTCTCTAGTAAAAATATAAAATTAGCTGGGTCTCGTGGCGTGCGCCTGTAATCCCAGCTACTTGGAGGCTGAGACAGGAGAATTGGTTGAACCCAGGAGGCGGAGGTTACAATGAGCTGAGATTGCGCCACTGCACTCCAGCATGGGTGACAAAGTGAGACTCTGCCTCAAAGAAAAAAAAAAATGCAGATTCTTGTTGGGTGTGGTGGTTCATGCATATAATCCCAGTACTTTGTGATGCCGAAGCAGGATCATTTGAGCCTTGGAGTTCGAGACCAGCGTGGGCATCGTAGCGAGACCCTGTCTCTACAAACACTTTTTTTTTTTTTGAGACAGAGTCCTGCTCTGTCGCCCAGGCTGGAGTGCAGTGGCACAATCTCGGCTCACTGCAACCTCCACCTTCTGGGTTTCAAGCAATTCTCCTGCTTCAGCCTCTGGAGTAGCTGGGGACTACAGGCACGCACCCACCATGCCCAGCTAATTTTTGTATTTTTAGTAGAGCTGGGGTTTCACCATGTTGGCCAGGCTGGTCTCAAACTCCTGACCTTGTGATCTGCCCACCTCAGCCTCCCAAAGTGCTAGGATTACAGGCGTGAGCCACTGTGCCCAGCCAAAAACTTCTTAGAGTAACTAGCTCTTTAATTTTTAAAAAGTTGTTTGAGAAATGCATATTCTCAGGCCACAGTATCAGACTTCCTAAACCAGAAACTCTAGGGTGGGCCCAAGGAGCTGTTTTACAGGATGCCAGCAGGCACTCAGCTTTGGAGGCACCCACCCAGTAGGACTGCTGGATGGAGAAGGAAGCATCCTGGGCTCCCCAAGTTCCAGAGCAGCTTCCCACCCTGTCCTTGTACCCCTTCCTCCAGGTGCGGTTCCCTTCCCACTTCAGCTCTGACTTGAAGGACCTCCTGCGGAACCTCCTGCAGGTAGATCTCACCAAGCGCTTTGGGAACCTCAAGAATGGGGTCAACGATATCAAGAACCACAAGTGGTTTGCCACGACTGACTGGATCGCCATCTACCAGAGGAAGGTGGGCCTCCCCTCCTTAAGCCTGCTGAAGATTTGGGGGCAGGCCAAGAGTCAGGGAGGACAACCAACAGAGAGATAGAAAGGGAAGAGGGCAGGCTCAGAGGCTGACGCCTGTCATCCCAGCACTTTGGGACGCCAGGGTGGGTGAATCACCTGAGGTCAGAAGTTCAAGACCATCCTAGCCAACATGGCGAAACCCCATCTCTACTAAAAACACAAAATTAGCTGGGCATGGTGCCAAGCGCTTGTAATCTCAGCTACTCAGGAGGCTGAAGCAGGAGAATTGCTTGAATCTGGGAGGCAAAGGTTGCAGTAAGCAAGCACTCCAGCCTGGATGACAGAGTGAGACTGTCTCAAAACAAAATAGAAAGAAAGAAAGAAAGGGAAGAGAACATGGGAGGTACAGGAGCAACCTAGAGTAGAGTGCTTAGAGCCAGTGGGATCTAGAAATGGAATTCTGGTGTCATTTGACCATTCCATGACCTAGTGCAGAAGATGCCTCTCTCTGGGAAGTAATTTCCCCTTGAGCTGGCTACATGTAGAATTTCTGGTTGTTAAGAGGAATCCATAACCTAATGCTAAGCACAGGCCTGAGTCAGAGTAACTATCTCTTGAACATTAGGCCATTCACATTTATTGTTGTAATAATGATTATGTTGAATGCTGAGGTATGGGTGGTTTTTGATCCCTCTCCAGGTGGAAGCTCCCTTCATACCAAAGTTTAAAGGCCCTGGGGACACGAGTAACTTTGACGACTATGAGGAAGAAGAAATCCGGGTCTCCATCAATGAGAAGTGTGGCAAGGAGTTTAATGAGTTTTAGGGGTGTGCCTGTGCCCCCATGGGTTTTCATTTCTTTCCTTTTTTTGTTGTTGTTGTTGGGGGGGGGTGGGAGGGTTGGATTGAACAGCCAGAGGGCCCCAGAGTTCCTTGCATCTAATTTCACCCCCACCCCACCCTCCAGGGTTAGGGGGAGCAGGAAGCCCAGATAATCGGAGGAACAGAAACACCAGCTGCTCCCCCTCATCCCCTTTGCCCTCCGGCCCCCCCCTCCCATTTTTCCCTTCCTCCTCCCCCACAGCCCCTACCCCAGCCCACTTCTGCCTGTTTTAAACGAGTTCCTCAACTCCAGTCAGACCAGGTCTTGCTGGTGTATCCAGGGACAGGGTGTGGAAAGGGGCTCAAACTCAACTCCAGCCCCACCCACACCCCCATCCCACCCAACCACAGGCACCACTTGCTAAGGGCAAATGAACAAAGCGCCAACCTTCCCTTTGGAGTAATCCTGCCTGGGAAGGAGAGATTTTTAGTGGACATGTTTAGTGGGCTGCTTGCTAGAATTTTTTTAAAAACGATTTAAAATCTTATTTTAAGTTCCACCAGTGCCTCCCTCCCTCCCTCCTCTACTCCCACCCCTCCCATGTCCCCCCATTCCCCAATCCATTTTAATGAGAAGCAGACTGACTTTGGAAAGGGAGGCGCTGGGGTTTGAACCTCCCCGCTGAGCTGCTAATCTCCTCTGGGACCCTCCCTGGGGGATCCTCTCTGCCAATCCTGCGAGGGTCTAGTCCCCTTTAGGAATCCTCCGCTCTCTTCTTCCCCAGCAGACCTGTCTTCACCCTTGGGCTTTGAGAGCCAGACAAAGCAGCTGTCCCTCTCCCTGCCAAAGAGGAGTCATCCCCCAAAAAGACAGAGGGGGAGCCCCAAGCCCAAGTCTTTCCTCCCAGCAGCAATTTCCCCCAACTCCTTAATTTTATTCTCCACTAGATTTTAATGTCCAGCTTTCCCTCAGCTCAGTGGGGAGGGCATATCTGCAAAAGGACACGGAAGAGGCCAAGTGCCCCCACGTCTTGGCCCGGCGTTCAAGGCTAGAGCTGCTGGGGAGGAGCTGCCTGTTTTACTCACCCACCAGCTTCCGCCTCTGCCATCCTGGGTCCCCCTCCTCCGGCTTAGCTGTCAGCTGTCCATCACGTCTCCCCCCAGTCTCATTTGTGCATTTTTCTCTCTTAATAGAAAAGTGGAGACTACCCCGTTCATCCCCTTATTTCCCCCTCTCATAACTTCTCCCCATCCCAGGAGGAGTTCTCAGGCCTGGGACGGGGCCCCGGGTGGGTTCGGGGGCGATTCAACCTGTGTGCTGAGAAGGACGAGACTTCCTCTTGAACAGTGTGCTGTTGTAAACATATTTGAAAACTATTACCAATAAAGTTTTGTTTAAAAAAAAAAGTGTCGCTGGTGTTCTCGACTTCGATCACCCACCCACACACCCCCAGGGGGTTGAGGAGGGAATTTCGGACCCCAGCGTGCAGGCCAATCAGGTCCTGGCCTGGAGTCCTTCTAAACAGGGTTTAGTTGAAATTCCGGCACTCCTTCGGCCCCGCAGGAGAAACCAGCGTCAAACTGCCCTTTGACCCCAGCTTCGGGGTCCCCAAATCTGCGGTGCGCCCCCTCGGCGTCCAGCCCGGGATCGAGAGGGCGCTCTAGGGAGGCGCTGGGGCCCGCGCGCCAGGAGGCCGAGCGGCGGCGGGGGCGGCACTGGCAAGGGGAGTAGAAGGGGGGAGAGGGTGCGCGGCCCCCTCTCCGCATCCTCAGCGCCGGGCCAGGCCCGCCGGAGGGACGCGGGGGCGGCGGCAGCAAGAGGGTTCCCGCAGCACCCTGCGAGCGCGGCGGCCCCAGCCCGCGGGCGGCGAGTTCCCGGTAAGTGCGGTCCCGAGAGCGGAGCGCGCCGGGGAGGCGTGGAGAGGGGGGCTGGGCGCCGGGGACGTCTGGGTCCCGCGCCCAATGGCTGGAGGGCGGCCGAGCACCGCCCGCCCGCCCTGCCCGCCCCCTCACCCCTCCCCCCGGCACTCCCCTCCCCCTCCCCCGCCCGCCGCTTTTCCCCCGCCCCCGCCCCGGCGCCAACTCCGCGGCGCCTCCTTAAAAAGCGCGCGGGAGTTGTAAGGGGGGGCCGGAGCGAGCCAGAGTGAGCGAGAGCGCAGGGTAAAGGGGGCGGGCGGGGGGCCCGGGCTCCACCTTAAAAGCGGGCGCGTGGGGGTGGGAGGGAGGAAGGCGGGCGGCGGGGAGGAGGGAGGGAGGGAGGGAAGGAAGGGGGGCCGGAGTGTCCCGGGCGCAGGGCGCGCGTGCGGCGGCGGCGGCGGGGAGGGGCCGGCCGCGCGGCGCTCCCCTCCTCCTCCTCGCATCCCCGGCCCCGCGCGCGCCCAGCAGAAGCGGGTCTGTGTGTGCGTGCGTGCGAGTGAGTGAGTGTGTGCATATTTTTTTTCCTCTCTTTTCTTTCTCTCTCACTGTTTTTTCCTCTCTCTCGCTCCCTCTCTCTCTTTTTTTTTTTTTTTTTTTTTTTTTGCAAAGAAACAGCAGCGCCGCCGCCGCTCCGCCGAGGCGCTGCGCCCCCGGGGGGGGGAGGCGGAGGAGGCGGGCAGCGGCGGAGGGAGGGGAGCCGGGGAGGGGGGCGCCGCGCTGGGAGGGAGGCAGCGCGCACGGTGCAGCCGGGCCGGGCGGGAGGCATGGCGGGGCCCCCGGCCCTACCCCCGCCGGAGACGGCGGCGGCCGCCACCACGGCAGCCGCCGCCTCGTCGTCCGCCGCTTCCCCGCACTACCAAGAGTGGATCCTGGACACCATCGACTCGCTGCGCTCGCGCAAGGCGCGGCCGGACCTGGAGCGCATCTGCCGGATGGTGCGGCGGCGGCACGGCCCGGAGCCGGAGCGCACGCGCGCCGAGCTCGAGAAACTGATCCAGCAGCGCGCCGTGCTCCGGGTCAGCTACAAGGGGAGCATCTCGTACCGCAACGCGGCGCGCGTCCAGCCGCCCCGGCGCGGAGCCACCCCGCCGGCCCCGCCGCGCGCCCCCCGCGGGGCCCCCGCCGCCGCCGCCGCGCCGCCGCCCACGCCCGCCCCGCCGCCACCGCCCCGCGCCCGTCGCCGCCGCCGCCCCGGCCCGGGCGCCCCGCGCGGCCGCTACCGCCGCCGCCACAGCGCCCCCCTCGCCCGGCCCCGCGCAGCCGGGCCCCCGCGCGCAGCGGGCCGCGCCCCTGGCCGCGCCGCCGCCCGCGCCAGCCGCTCCCCCGGCGGTGGCGCCCCCGGCCGGCCCGCGCCGCGCCCCCCCGCCTGCCGTCGCCGCCCGGGAGCCGCCGCTGCCGCCGCCGCCACAGCCGCCGGCGCCGCCACAGCAGCAGCAGCCGCCGCCGCCGCAGCCACAGCCGCCGCCGGAGGGGGGCGCGGCGCGGGCCGGCGGCGCGGCGCGGCCCGTGAGCCTGCGGGAAGTCGTGCGCTACCTCGGGGGCAGCGGCGGCGCCGGCGGTCGTCTGACCCGCGGCCGCGTGCAAGGGCTGCTGGAGGAGGAGGCGGCGGCGCGGGGCCGCCTGGAGCGCACCCGTCTGGGAGCGCTAGCGCTGCCCCGCGGGGACAGGCCCGGACGGGCGCCGCCGGCCGCCAGCTCCCGCCCGTCTCGGAGCAAGGTGAGCGCGCCGGGGAGCGGGGGCGCCGCGCGGTGGGCAGGTGCGGGCGAAGTTCGTGGCGGGGGCGCGAGTCCCGGGAGGAACTGGGCGGCGGGTGACTGGGGCTTTTCGCGCGCTTCCTACGGGCTTAGTTCGTGGTGACCTTGGCAAGTGGCTGAATCTCCCGGAGCCTCAGTTTCCTTCGCTGTAAACGCGGCTTAGTAACAGTAGCGACCCCTTGGGGTTGTTGCGCGAGTTTAGTGAGATTCGGTTGTCGAGGGCTTTAGTTAACACAGAGCCTGGCACGGAGTGAATGCGTAAAAGTTAGTCCATATTGTTCTTAAAGGTGGAATCGGTCCATCCTCCCCGCCGCCCGGATGCCACAGTCAGGGTCCGGGATTAGAACAGCTGCTAACCTTGCATGCTTTTCTTCTCCGCCCCAGAGAGGTGGAGAAGAGCGAGTGGTTGAGAAAGATGATGATGATGATGATGATGAAGATGAAGATGATGAAGATGATGTGCCAGAGGGCTCTGAAGTACCTGAGAGTGATCGTCCAGCAGGTGCCCAGCACCACCAGCTTAACGGCGAGCGGGGACCTCAGAGTGTCAAGGAGAGGGTCAAAGACTGGACGTCCTGCGGAACTCACCAGGGCCAGGATGAAGGGCGGGGGCCAGCCCCGGGTAGCGGCACCCGCCAGGTGTTCTCCATGGCAAACATGAACAAGGAGGGGGGAACAGGTAAGGACCTCTGGGTGGGGGGAAAGTACCAGCTGGGAGGAACTCAGCCCCAAGACAAAGCCAAAGACAGGTGTTTTTTTTCCTTCCCAGCTTCTGTTGCCACCGGGCCAGATTCCCCATCTCCCGTGCCTTTGCCCCCAGGAAAACCAGCCCTACCTGGGGCCGATGGGACCCCCTTTGGCTGTCCGTAAGTTGGGGTGTTGGAGACTTGGGGGTGCTGCACAGGTATGTGGCACAGCCAGAGGGACCTCTATGTTCACTGGTGTCCGTCTGTTTTGATGCAGTACTGGGCGCAAAGAGAAGCCGTCTGATCCCGTGGAGTGGACAGTGATGGATGTTGTGGAATATTTTACTGAGGCAGGCTTCCCTGAGCAGGCGACAGCTTTCCAAGAACAGGTGAGTTTCCAGCCCTGGATTACACACAGACAGACAGACAGAGGGCTTCTGTGGGATGTGCCCTGACCCAGCTCGCTCTCTCTCTGTCCCTGTCCCACCCAGGAAATTGATGGCAAATCTTTGCTGCTCATGCAGCGCACAGATGTGCTCACCGGCCTGTCCATCCGCCTTGGGCCAGCCCTGAAAATCTACGAGCACCACATCAAGGTGCTGCAGCAAGGCCACTTTGAGGACGACGACCCCGATGGCTTCTTAGGCTGAGCACCCAGCCTAATCTCTGCCCCAACCCATTCTGGCCCCCATCTCACCCAAGACCCCCCAGAGCCCAGGAGCTGGACACGGACACCCTCAGCCCTCATAACAGGTTCCAGGGAGGGGCACCCCCCGTGTCCTCATCTCTGCCCCTTCTGTCTCTCTCATACACACATTTGCCCTTCAGCACATTGGTGCAGGGAGAGGATTGCTCCTTACACCCCAGGTGGCTGACCCTCCCCACCCAGCCCAGGACATTTTAGGAAAAAAAAAAAAAAAAATGAAATGTGGGGGGCTTCTCATCTCCCCAAGATCCTCTTCCGTTCAGCCAGGTGTTTCCTATATAAATGTTTGGATCTGCCTGATTTCGGTGGGTGGTCTTTCCTTTTTCCCCCACCACCCATCCCCCCTTCTCAGTCTCTGCCCCTGGCCTCCAGCTCCTAGGGGACTAGCTGGGTTGGGGTTCCTCGGGTTTTTCCTCTCCTTCCTCTTTCCTTTCTGTTGATTGTTGCTCCAGCTGGCTGTATTGCTTTTTAATATTGCACCGAAGGTTTTTTAAATAAAATTTTAAAAAAGGAAAAGGAAAAAAAAAGCCACAGGGTCCATTTTATAAATGGGGCAGGGGAGAGGGTGTTAAAGAGTCTCCTAAGAGAGCCGAAGGTTAGGACAGAATTGTTTGGGGAGGGGAAAAAAAAGGAAAGAATGAATTATAGCTGTCTCACAGCCACTTCTAACAGTAATTGCTCCAAGGCGGTGGGAATATTTGCTTTTTTTCCTCTGTAATCTCTCCATGTCCAGAACAGAGCTAGGCACACAGCAGGTGCTGAGTTTTTTTGTTTGTTTGTTTTGTTTTTTGAGGTGGAGTTCGGCTCTTGTTGCCTGGGCTGGAGTACAGTGGTGCGATCTTGGCTCACAGCAACCCTTGTCTCCCAGATTCAAGCGATTCTCCTGAGTAGCTGGGATTACAGGCATGCGCCACCATTGCCGGCTAATTTTGTATTTTTAGTAGAGATGGGGGTCTCTCTATGTTGGCCAGGCTGGTCTCGAACTCCTGACCTCAGGTGATCCGCCTGCCTTGGCCTCCCAAAGTGCTGGGATTACAGGCGTGAGCCACTGCACCCAGCCCAATTTTTGTTTTTCTTTTAGAGATGGTCTCATGCTGTCACCCAGGCTGGAGTGCAGTGGTGCTGTCATAGCTCATTGTAACCTCAAACTGCTAGCTCAAGTGATCCTCCCACCTCAGCCTCCTAACTGGGACTACACGTGCACACTGCCTTGCTCAGATAGGTTTTAGACATTTCTGTAGAGATGGGCTCTAACTGTTGACCAGGCTGGTCTCGAACTCCCAGCCACAAGCACAAGCGATTCTTCTGTCTGGGATTAAAACAGCCACCACGCCTGGCCTCAACTATTGTTTAATGACTAACAGTTAAGTTCTTGGGTTTACAAGCATTTTCTCAGTTGTCCTCCCCAAGTCCCACTTTACAGAAGAGACAACTGGCCCCACACAGAGATGCTGTTTGCTCGGGATCACACAGAGTGGCGTCTGACACCTGTCTCAGTTCTTCACTCAGAGTCTTTTTTTTTCACTCAGACTTTATAATTAGTGTGTTTGACATACGTATATTAAAAAGTATAATAAACCTGTCAGCCTTAGCCTACTGCAAAGAATCCGCTACAACTATCAAGGGCGGGGGGGGGCCTGTTCTAGGTCCATAGTAGGGTTTCCAGGCCTCATGGTCCTCCCCATTAAAACAACAGAAGTGGGCCAGGCGTGGTGGCCCATGTCTCATCCCAGCACTTTGGGAAGCCAAGGTGGGCAGATCACAAAGTCAGGAGTTCAGGATCAGCCTGACTAACATGGTGAAACTCCGTCTGTTAAAAATATTAGCCGGCTGTGGTGGTGGGTACCTGTAGTCCCAGCTACCTCGGGAGGCTGAAGCAGGGGAATCGCTTGAACCTGGGAGGCGGCCATTACAGTGACCTGAGATCACGCCATTGCACTCCAGCATGGGCAACAAAAGTGAAACTCCATCTCAAAAAAAAAAAAAAGGGATTGAGCCATCAGATGGGAAAAGATTTCCAAGTGAAGATTTTCCTGTCACCTAGGCTAGAGTGCCGTGGTGCCATCATAACTGGTGACAGCCTCAAACTCTTGGGCACAAGTGATTCTTCTGCCTCAGACAACAGCCGACTAACATTTTATTTTCGTACGGACAGGATCTTGCTATGTTGCTCAGGCTGGTCTTGAACTCCTGGCCTCAAGCAATCCTCCCACCTCAGTTTGCCAGAGTGTCAGGATTACAGGCAGGAGCCACTGAGCCAGGCCTGAAGATGTTTTATTGTTTGTTAGGGGTAGTTCTCAGAGCTACACATCCGAAGTCCCTACTGAGTTCTAAGGCAGTTTCTCAACTCCATTAGAGAGAAAAAAAAAAAAAAAGGCTGGGCACTTTGGGAGGCAAGACGGGAAGATCGCTTGAGTCAGGAGTTTGAGACCAACCTGGGCAACAAAGAGAGACCCTCATCTCTATAAAATAAAAATTTTAAATTAAAATGATTTTTTAACAACAACAACAAAACGGGTTCTGGGAGCGTGAGGCTGGGACTGGGACCCGGGCGACCTCATTCCATATCCCTGTTTCAGGTGGGGGAAGTTGGAGACACGTTAGAGACCCCTCCACTCCAGGAATCCACCTCGAGAGATTAAGGTCCTGGCTCTAACCACACCCCCAAGACAAGGCCAGAGGTCGCCTCTCTAGGCGGGACCCCTCCCTCCCCACCGCCAGGTTCCCGGAGTGCGCGTGGTGTGGGGGGGGCGGGGGGCCGCAGGCGCGCGGACTGGAGCGGCGCGCCCCTCCCGCGTGTTGAAATTCAAAAGAGGCAAACAACTCCCGGGCGCGGCGCAGCGCCGGTGGAGAGGTCAAGGCAGGGTCCAGTCGGAGGCTCCCAGGGCGGGGTCGAACCCGCTGCCGACGACGCAGCATCGGAAGCTTAAAGAGCTCAGGTTCCCTCCCTACAGCCCTGCCATGGCTACGGAGCAGTGGTTCGAGGGGTCGCTCTGCCTGGACCCTGGAGAAACACCACCTCCAGACGTCTTAAAACCTGGGACGCCGTCCTGCGCAGACCCCTCCCGGTCGACGCCCCCCAGCAGGCCTGGGGACCCACCTGAGCCGGACCCCGAAGATGCTGAGGGGCAGCTGCCTGAAGCCCCGGCCTCCATGCCTTCCTCAGAACCTCTGGTTCCCGGGCCCGGGCCAGCACCACCCCGCCTACCCTTGGAAACTTTGTTCAGCCCCATTACCGAACAGCTGCGCTACCTACTCAAGAAGGCGGATGATTTCCAGAGCTACTTGCTCTACAGGTGATGTCGGACAGGGTCCCAGCACCTCGTGGGTAGAGACTTGGAGGGGAGGCGACAGGAGGGGAGCCCAGGAGGTCAAGGCTATAGTGAGCTGTCCCGTGACACACGCCAGGGTCGCAAAAATCGCAAAATTAGAAGCGCTAGGAGCCAGAGGGAGACAGTGGAAGAAGCTAACTTATTAGAATCAGTTTCTGAGTGAGGAGGGCTGTGGAATCGCGGGTAGGGGGGGGCTGCTGTTACTGTCCTGGCAGTGTGGCCTGCGGTTGTCAAATCTCTAGGACTTTCTTCCAGTTTTTAAATGCTGGCTTATATTTTTGAACCCTGTGCCAGCTAAACAAGACCCACCTGAGCCACACTTGGCCAGTAGGACGTCAGTTTGAGACCCCAAAGGATAATGTGATTCGCAGACCAGCTTTCCCTGTGGCTCTCCAATTTCAGTGTCCATTGGAATCTCCTAGGAGGCTGGGTTTTGTTGCTGGTGGTGGTTTTTTGTTTTTCTTTTTGAGACAGAACTCGCTCTGTCGCCCAGGCTGGAGTGCAGTAGCAGGATCTCGGCTCACTGCAACCTCCGCCTCCAGGGTTCAATCAATTATCTGCCTCAGCCTTCCGAGTAGCTGGGATTACAGGCGCCCACCACCACGCCTGGCTAATTTCTGTATTTTTAGTAGAGATGGGGTTTCACCATCTTGGCCAGGCTGGTCTTGAACTCCTGACCTCATGATCCACGAGGCTTGGGTTTTGTTTTGGATTTAAGACAGTCTCGGTCGGTCACCCAGGCTGGAGTGCAGTGGCGCGATCTCGGCTCACTGCAACTTCTGCCTCCCGGGTTCAAGCGATTCTCATGAGGCTGGTTTTTTAATGAGACAGGGTCTCGCTCTGTCGCCCAAGCTGGAGTGCAATAGTGTAGCCATAGCTTACGCAGCCTCAAACTCCTGGAGGCAATCCTCCTGCCTCCACCTCCTAAGTAGCTGGGACTATAGGTGACACCATGCTCAGCTAATTGTTTTTTTGTGTAGAGATGGGGTCTTGCGATGTTGCCCAGGCTGGTCAGGAACTCCTGGCCTCAAGCAATCCTTCAGCCTTAGCCTCCCAAAACTCTCGTATTGCAGGCATGAGCCACTGCAGGAAGCTCTGGGTCCTAAGTAGAGTTGTGAGACTCAGGTGTCAGCTCTTTAACAAGTGTTCTAAATGGGTGTGATGCGGGTGAACCAGAAAGATGTTCAGAAAAGATCTAAAACTGGGGGCCTTTTCTAACAGGGGTCTAGCCAAGGGATACAGGTTGGGGGTGAGTAGAATGGGGAAAACTGGGTGGCGGGGAGGGGTCGTGAGGGATTACAGGCAAAGGCTCCCTTCTTCCTTCAGCAGAGATCAAGTACAGAAGGAGCAGCTGGCCAAGGCCATGCCCACATTCTTACAGATGTGTGAACCCTACTTCCTGTATCTGGAGGCAGCCTCGAGAAGTGTACCCCCCATCTATGGAGTCCTGCAGGAGCTGGTCCGAAAGGGGGTGTGTGGGGGTTTCTTAGACCCCACACCCCTTGCCTCTCAAAGCTCCAAGCCTGGGGGGATGGTGGATGGTGGAGGGGGAGGCCCGCTCCTCTTAGGCCAGCTGATCTCACTGTGGCCCCTCTTGTATGCAGCTGTTAGAGATCTCCCAGCAGCTGACTCTGCGCCTGGAACAGCTGGTCCTCATGTACGCTTCCTTTGGGTTTGTGGACCTGGAGGAGACAAACCCCCTTAGGTATAACAGCTGGGGACTCGGATGGGGGGGTGAAGGGGTCCAAGGCCCAGCCTCACCCCTGCATTCCCTCATGTCCTGCCAGCATCTCCTGTTTCTTTTGCGGGAGGTTCTCCATCAGCATGTCCCACGAGGTGTCCATCTTCAGATACTGTGCCCCAGCCGCCTACACTGCCAGCCGCTTCCCCCGATACCTCTATAAGAAGATGCGCTGGCACCTGGAAACCATCCCAGAGGCCCCTGGTCGGGGACAAGATACCCTTGTGGATTAGTAAGTCCTCTTACCCAAATCAAATTCCTCCCCTTTCTATGATGAATGCCAGTATGGGCCTCAAAACCGTCACCACCAAAGTGAAAACTGGGCAGGGCATGGCATGGTGGTTCAAGCCTGTAATCCCAACACTTTGGGAGGCTGAAGCAGGAGGATCATTTGAGCCCAAGAGTTTGAAATCAGCCTGGGCAAGATGGCAAGACCCTGTCTTAACAACAACAACAACAAAATTCGCCAGGCATGGTGGCTGGCAGCTGTAGTCCCAGCTACTTGGGAAGGAGGATCACTTGAGCCCAGGAGTTTGAGGCTATAGTGAGCTGTGATTGTGCCACTGCACTCCAGCCTGAGTGGGAGCAAGAATCTGTCTCTTTAAAAAAAAAAAAAGTGAACCAGGAAACAAGGCTTTTGAAAGGCTACCGCTATTTTCTTAAAACCCACCCTCCCACCAAAATAAAAGTCCTAATCTTAAAAGGAGGCTGGCCGGAAGAAAAGGCCTTGGAGCCTACCTGAGAACTTCCTATGAGTTTCCACCTCACCTTCAAAATTAAAGCCCGCAACAGAAGAAGCTAGGGAACTGATCACTTCTAATTACAGCTCCCTCCCCTCCCAGCTACTTCCTATGCTATCGAGATACTTGGGAGGACACAGGCCAGACTCCTGCCAATCCATTCCCGCAGATCCAGAAGCTGTGGTCCATCGGCCGATGGGTGCCCCTGGGACCAGCCGAGGATGACCTTTATTCGTGGTAGGAACTAGGGCAATAGTAAAGCGGGCTTGGGTGCTGGAGGTGGGAGGCAGAACCCCTTCAAAGACAATCCACCTTCCCAAATACTTTGCTTCCCTTAGTAATGATAGCACTGTATTGTGTCCTGAAAAGCACGCAGACCCCAGTAACAACCCATCGAGGTCTAAGCTACTGGCCCCATTTAACAAAGAAAACAGGGTGCTCAGAGAAGTTGTGACCTGCCCAAGGACACACAGCTAGCAGGGCGATTGGACAGGTCAGGACCAGTTATTCAGCCTCCGGGAGCCATTACTAAGTTTCTGATCAACAAGGAAACAAGTTTCCCCCGGGGGTTTTTCCCACCCGCAGCTGAAACAAAGCTGCTTTCAGCTGACGCCTCTCACTCAAAGGGAGGGACTCCCGAGGGGCAGGGGGCACTCAAGTCCAGGCCTGTCTCTCCCTGGTCCCCCCCACCACAGGATTTTGTGCCCGCAGCCTCTTGGGGACTACCAGCAGCTGCTGACCATCGGCTTCGAGGAGCCCTCGCCCATGCTGGCCACCGACCTGCTGGTGCAGATCCTCACGGGCCAGGCAGGCCAGGCCCGGCCTCCGAGCGCAGCCGGGCCCGCGGGGTGGGCGGCTCAAGGGTCTTGAATCTGGGTAAGAGGGTAGGAGCTGGAGCTTGACAGTTCCAAACTCCAGGAGAGGGGGCAGGGGAGGGGCTCACTCGTTCTTGCAGTGCAGCCCGGCCTCGCCTTCCAAAGGGCCAGGCCGAGCTGACCTGTCTGCACCGAGATCGGCCCAGCCGTGGGGCCCAGAATGCGGACATGCCAGTTTTGTGTTAAATAAAAGAAAGAAAGAGGTCACAGGCTCAGTCTCCGCTGAGAGCACCGCGCCCCTCCCTCTGGGGTGGGGATTCCCCGCCCGCTTGCATGGTCTTCTGGGAAATGTAGTCTTTTGAGAGAAGTCCGCAATCCACCAATAGGCGGACGAGAGTCTGGCGCATGCGCATAGGTGCACATGAAGCAACAAGAGAAGCGGTGCCTGTCAACAACCGGAACCCAGAAAATCTCAAGTTTCGGGTAGCGAGGAAATTCAACGCCCACTGGAGGAAAAGACTTAAGGTTACGCCCACTCCCGTATTTTCACCCGGAAGTTATTTCTTTGTAGCGTAAAAGAACTACTTTTCCCGACGTGCCCCAGGAAAGTGCCCTCGATCAGTTTCCGAAGGCCCCGAGTTAGACTTTTTTTTTCTCTTCTAGCATTTGGGACTTGGTGGCCGCACAGGTCGTCGTCTTTCTTGGGGTATCCGGGGTGCGGGCGGGGTGGAGGAGCCCTATGGAATCCCAGCTTAGGATCTCTTAACCTCTCTCCAACCTCGGACTGGAGAGGAAACCCTAGCTGAGAGAAATGAACTCAACTGCTCAAAGCTCCTGCGAGGAAGTGTCGGACCTTGGACCTGAACCGGGTACTATGGCCCCTTGCAAGGGGAAGGGTGTCATCCTGAGCCAGGTGTCACTCAGCTGTGGGTTATCCCCCTTTAATCCAAGGGGGACACTTTTGGTTACCCTCCCCTCAGCATTTTCATAAGAGGAGACACCCAGAGCCCTGTCCTTATATGTGATTTTGAGCAAAGCGCCCATCTTCAATCCCTGGCACATAGTATTATACCCCGTTTCCAGATGACAAAAAAGGACGTGAGAGGTGGTGAAATGAATCAATATTGGATTGGATGCCAACACTATTGCTCGTCCTTTTTTTTTTTTTTTGAGATGGAGTCTCAGGCTAGTTGCCCAGGCTGGAGTGCAATGGCGTGATCTCGGCTCACTGCAACCTCCACCTTCCAGGCTCAAGCGATTCTCCTGCCTCAGCCTCTGGAGTAGCTAGGATTACAGGCGAATGCCTCCACGCCCAGCTAATTTTTGCATTTTTAGTAGAGATGGGGTTTCACCATGTGGCCAGGATGGTTTTGAACTCCTGACGTCAAGTGATCCACCCGCCTCAGCCTCCCAAAGTGCTGAGATTACAGGTGTAACCCACTGAACCCTGCCACTATTGCTCTTCCATGGGGGTTTCTGGTGACAATTTCTGACTGCATCAAGAATGTTTTTTAGTCCACAGCCCTGGTCTGAATGACATGAAATCCTGATGCTCCTTGATCGCTTTGAGGGAGGCCCTGTGAATTTTCCCGTCTCTTAAGATTTTTTGGGGGTAGGGAAGATCTTGCTCTGTCACCCAGGCTGGACTGCAGTAGCACAATTATGGAACCTCCATCTCCTACAACCTCTAAATCCTGGGTTAAAAAGATCCTCCTACTTTGGCCTCCCAAGCAGCTGGTAGTACCAGCAGCACCGATGCCTCTGCTTTTTTTTTTTTTTTTTTTTTTAGAGACAGGGTCTCGCTATGTTGACCAGGCTGGTCTTGAACTCCTGGCCTCAAGCTATCCTCCTGCCTTGGCCTCCCAAAGTGCTGGGATTACAGGTATGACCCATCCCGACTGGCCTTTAAGATTATTTAGACTCACAAGGTCCAACAGAAATAGCAAGTGAGTTTAGACTGGGCATGGTGGCTCACCCCTGTAATCCCAGCACTTTGGGAGGCTGTGGCAGGTGGATCATGATGTCAAGAGATTGAGACCAGTCTGGCCAACATGGTGAAACCCTGTCTCTATTAAAAACACAAAAATTAGTTGGGCGTGGTGGCGCATGTCTGTAATCCCAGCTTCTCAGGAGGCTGAGGCAGGAGAACCACTTGAAGGTTCTCCTTCAACCACGGGGAGGTGGAGGTTGCAGTGAGCCGAGATCACAGCACTGCACTCCAGCCTGGGAGGCAGAGTAAGATTCCGTCTCAAAAAAAAAAAAAAGAAAAGAAAAGAGATTTAGTATTTCACGTTTACAACATATCTCAATTCAGACTAGCCACAAGCACCTCTAAACGGTCTCCTTTAAGTCAAATCCAATGTCTGCTCAAGACAGGGTTTCTGGTGGGTGGTGACAGCAAGTCCTGGAAGGGGAAGGAAACACGCTTTGTTTCCTGGGTCCTGTGGCTCAGCAGCTTTCTACACCCTTGCTTCTCAGACTTCCCAGTGTGCATCAGAATCACATGGAGGCTTTGATCATTAGATCTGGGATGACACCCATGAAAGTGCTGCTTTTCTCTCTCTCTTATTTTTTTTCCCAGACGGAGTCTCACTCTCGCCACGCTGGCTGCAGTGGTGCGATCTCGGCTCACCGCAACCTCCGCCTCCCAGGTTCAAGCGATTCTCCTGCCTCGGCCTCCTGAGTGGCTGGGACTACAGGCACCTGCCACCACGCCCAGCTAATTTTTGTATTTTTAGTAGAGATGGGGTTTGTCCATGTTGGTCAGGCTAGTCTCGAACTCCTGACCTCAGGTGATCCACCTGCCTCGGCCTCCCAAAGTTCTAAGATTACAGGTGTGAGCTCTTTCTCCCTCTCTCTTTTCTTTTTTTTGAGATAGAGTCTTGCTGTTGCCAGGCGCCAGGCTGGAGTGCAGTGGCATGATCTCAGCTCACTGCAACTTCCACCTCCTGGGTTCAAGCAATTCTCGTGCCTCAGCCTCCGGAGTAGCTGAGACCACAGGCACATGCCACTATGCCCGGCTAATTTTTGTATTTTTTAGTAGAGATGGGGTTTCACCATGGTCTTGATCTCTTGACCTCATGATCCACCCACCTTGGCCTCTCACAGTGCTGGGATAACATTTTTTTAAAAAAGACTTTGTCCCTGCTAGTATATACAATGGAGTGTGGGGGAATAAAAGAGACTTTGTCTTGCTGTATTGCCCAGGCTGGTCTCCAACTTCTGGACTCAAGCATTCCTCCCATCTCAGCCTCCCAAAGTGCTGGGATTACAGGCATGAGCCACTGCACCTGGCCCCTGAAGGCACATGTCTAGCAGTTCCCCAAGCATCTCGGATGCTGCTGGTCCTGGTGCCACTACTGTGAGAACTGCTGGTTTACACTTCCTTCAGCTGCACATTGGAATCACCTGGGAGCTTCAAAAAATACTGATGTCAGGCCCTTGCCCCATCTGACTGACTTCACATACAGAGGCCTCCAGTTGAGTTTAACATTCAGAGAAGTTACAGAGTCTCCCATCTATACTGTCTGTGTGTGTGTGTGTGTGTGTTGTTTTGTTTTGTTTGAGATGGAGTTTCGCTCTTGTTGCTCAGGCTGGAGTGCAGTGGCTTGACCTTCACTCACTGCAACCTCCAACTCCCAGGTTCAAGCGATTCTCCTGGCTCAGCCTCTCCAGTAGGTGGGATTACAGGCAAGCACCACCACGCCCAGCTAATTTTGTATTTTTTTTTTTAGTACACACAGGGTTTCTCCATGTTGGTCAGGTTTGTCTGCAACTCTCAGCCTCAGGTGATCAGCCCACCTCGGCATCCCAAGGTGCTGGGATTACAGGTGTGAGCCACCCAATCCAGCCCCCATCTATACTAAAGTAGTCCTGTCCACTCTTTTGAGATGGGTGATTCTCCTGCCTCAGCCTCTTGAGTCGCTGGGACTACAGGAGCACACCACCAAGCCTGACTAATTTTTCTTTTCTTTTTTTTTTTTAGAGACGGGTTTTCACCATGTTGGCCAGGATGGTCTCGATCTCTTGACCTTGTGATCCACCCGCCGTGGACTCCCAAAGTGCTGGGATTACAGGCGTGAGCCACCGTGCCCAGCCTAATTTTACTATTTTTTAGTAGAGACGGCATTTCGCCATGTTGGCCAGCCTGGTCTGGAACACCTGACCTCAGATGATCCATCTGCCTTGGCCTCCCAAAGTGCTGGGATTACAGGCTTGAGCCACCGTGCCCTGTCCCTGTCCACCCTTGATAGGCTTAGTTCTTGGCTCCCCTGCTGGAAATGAAGCCCAGCCGCCAGGTGTTTCCATTTCCCACTTCCCAGGCTCTCTCCCGACTTTTTTTTTTTTTGAGACTGAGTTTCACTGTTGTTACCCAGGCTGGAGTGCAATGGCGCGATCTTGGCTCACCGTAACCTCTGCCTCCTGGGTTCAGGCAATTCTCCTGCCTCAGCCTCCTGAGTAACTGGGATTACAGGCACGCACCACCGTGCCCAGCTAATTTTTTGTATTTTCAGTAGAGACGGGGTTTCACCATGTTGATCAGGATGGTCTCGATCTCTTGACCTCGTGATCCACTCGCCTTGGCCTCCCAAAGTGCTGGGATTACAGGCTTGAGCCACCATGCCCGGCTCTCCCGCCCTTCTTTACATATCTCCCACAGTCACGGTGAAGTATGCTGAGGAGTGGGTAACTGTACCAATGATGGACGGGGTCAGGTGATGAGCCCTTCTTGGCTGACCTGCTCTTGGGTGCAGCCCTGTATCAGCGTGACCTCTCTGTATTTTATGCCTACGGATTTCACTAGATATTTGATGTACCTATACAAGAGACAGAGTTGGACAGAACCAAGAATTTGTTTTTTTTGAGACAGAGTCTCACCCTGTCGCCCAGGCTGCAGTACAATGGCTCAGTCTCGGCTCACTGCAACCTCCATCTCCCGGGTTCTAAAGATTCTCCTGCCTCAGCTTCCCAAGTAGTTGGTGGCTCCCGCCACCATGCCCAGCTAATTGTTTTGTATTTTTAGTAGAGACGGCGTTTCACCATGTTGGCCAGGCTGGTGTTTTTGTTTAAGACAGAGTCGTGCTCTGTCGCCTAGGCTGGAGTGCAGAGCTAAGTGTTTAAGCAGCAATTCTAAACCATTCCTGGGTTGAGTGTGGTGGTTCATTCCTGTAGTCCCAGCTACTCAGGAGGCTGAGGCAGGTGGGTCACTTGAGCCCGGGAGATCAAGATTACAGTGAACTGTGATCATGCCACTGCACTGCAGACTGCATGACAGCAAGGCCCTGTCTCCAAAATTGAAAGCATTTCTTTTGAGACCGAGTTTGCTCTTATTGCCCAGGCTGCGGTGCAATGGCACAGTCTTGGCTCACTGCCTCCTGGGTTCAAGTGATTCTCCTGCCTCAGAGTAAGTGGGATTACAGGCATGTGCCACCATGCCCAGCTAATTTTGTATTTTTAGCAGAGAGAGGGTTTCTCTATGTTGGTCAGGCTGGTCTTGAACTCCCAACCTTGGGTGATTCACCTGCCTGGGCCTCCCGAAGTGTAGGGACTATAAAAAATACAAAAAATTAGCTGGGTGCGATGGTGTGCACCTGTAATCCCAGCTACTCAGGGGCAGGAGAATTGCTTGAGCCCAGGAAGTGGAGGTTGCAGTGAGTGGAGATTGCACCTCTGCACTCCAGCCTGGGTGACAGAGCAAGACTCAAAAAAATTTTTTTTTAAATAGTCACAGTCATAAAAATTCAGATTTCTCTTTTCAAAAACTAGGTTTCAGTTGCTTTTTTTTTTTTTTTTTTTAAATAGAGTATCTCACTCTGTCACCCAGGCTGAAGTGCAGTGGTGTGTTCTTGGCTCACTGCAACCTCTGCCTCCCAGGTTCAAGTGATGCCCCTGCCTCAGCCTCCTGAGTAGCAGGATTACAGACATATGCCACCACACCCAGCTATATTTTTTTTGTATTTTCCGTAGAGACTGGGTTTCACCATGTTGGCCAGGCTGGTCTGGAACTCCTGATCTCAAGTGATCCACCCACCTCGGCCTCCCAAAGTGTTGGAATTACAGGCTCACGCGCCAGGCCATGGATGTTATTTATTTATTTATTTATTTATTTTTGATGCTTGCCTACACGCAGACATGGGTGCTTCTGGAGAGCAGAAACTCTTGATCCAACACTATGAATGAGGTGTGCTCATTCGTAGTGAGGACCCATGAGGTCAAGAATGGTGATCATTAGGAACTAATGATGTTGAGAAGCCTGAACTCTTACCACCTCTTTGTGTATGTGTGTATTTTTTGTTTTGTTTTGTTTTTTGAGTCATTTTGGCTCTTGTCGCCCAGCTGGAGTGCAATGGCACAATCTCGGCTCACTGCAACCTCCGCCTCCCGGGTTCAAGCGATTCTCCTGCCTCAGCCTCCCGAGTAGCTGGGATTACAGGCACCCGACACCACGCCCGGCTAATTTTTTTTTTTTTTTTTTTTTTTTTTTAAGTAGAGACGGGGTTTCACCATGTTGGCCAGGCTGGTCTCGAACTGCTGACCTCAGGTGATCCACCCGTCTCGGCCTCCCAAAGTGCTGGGATTACAGGCCAGAGCCACCGCGCCTGGCCTCAGTAGCTGTTGTTTACGTTCCCAAGGTAGGAAGAGTCTCTTACATCTCTGTCTAGCCAGTGCACCAATAAATGTTGAAGAGGAATCCTGGAAACAGGGCGTGAACTCGGTCCGAGCGCCACATTTTGCACCCCGGCCGCCAGGGGGCGGTAGGACCTGGGCCAGGCCGGGTCTGGCAGTGCATGGGAGGTGGGCAGCCCCAGAACAGGGCGATAAGGGCGCTTTCCCGCATTCCGACCCGCACCTCTTGGGGCTTTCTCAGGCCTGTCTCGGCCCGCCGTGCTCCCGCCCCACTCCAGACGAAGAGGACCCAGAACAGAACAGGCTGCCGTGCCCTGAAAGAAGAGGCTTTATTGGCGGTGCAGGGAGTGGGGCAGCCGCGGCCGTAACCCCGGCCCTCTTATAGTCAAGGGAGTGGGTAGTTCAGTTTACAATTAGGCGGAGAAGGGCTGGACAGTTTCACTGGCAGAGTTGTGGGTGGTGGTCAGTTTCCCAATGGGGGACTCTAAGTTTTATAGACGGGGATGGTCAATTTCACAAAGTCAAGTTCAACGATGGGCTGGTCGATTTCATCTTTCCCAATGCAGAGGGCTGACCCTTCTCCAGGCCTTCTGCGAGACGCTCCCCACCCTGGTCCTCTGACGCGTACGTTACCTCCGGCCAGGGGACCCAGCCTGCTCAAACCTCAAGGTTTGCGCTCCTCCTGGGGGCAGAGGGCCAGAAGGAAGGCCGGCCTCAGGGACCTGCGCACCGCACTCAGGCTCAGGGTGGGGCGGTTTGGGCCCCAAGACCACTGTCTCCTCTTCACCCCGGATGCGTCCCAAATCAAGTTCGGACCAGAATTGCCCTCCAGGGGGGATGCGCCTTTCCCCACCCAGCGTCCTGGCAGCGGAGGGGTAAGCGGACCGACAAGCGCTAAAGGAACACAGGTAAAGGGGCTCCCACCTGCTCCAGGCCGTTCTCCGAGACCTTTCTGCGGGGGGGCCAGATCACCGCCAACTTTCCGTCGCCCCTGCTCGCTAGGGGGGAAGGGGCGCTCATCTCACCAGCTGGAGGCAGCCAGGATGAAAAAGGCCGGCCGCACCCCTTAAACACACACAGGCGTTCACCCTCCGCCTCCCCATAAAAGCCTCCACTCAGCTCCAGTGACCCAGGAATCCGAGGGAGGAGGGAGGTAAACCCAGAATGGAGGCAGGAGCCTGAAAATGCAGAGGGAGGACCCAGGAGCGCCAGAACCCAGTCAGGGGTTCCCTGGAACCCGACAAAGAGGAAGACATCTGGAATGCCCCCACCCATCCCCGCGCAGCCTGGGTGGTGTGGCTCAGAGAGTCCATCCCTCCGGGTGGAGGGGTGGATCACAGCGAGTAACACAGCCCCAGAAGGGGTGGGCAAGAGACAAAGTTGAGAAGGGGTCGGAGGAGCCTGGGAGCTTGGAGGGAGAGACCCCGAGAATCGGAAGGCCAGAGGAGGGGCCGCCTAAGCTGGGCAGTCGGTGGGGGCGGCTGGAACCCTGGGGGTCCTTGGCGTTGCCGCGCTCGCGGCTTACCGGTGAGACTCGGCGTAGGCTCCTTGAACTCCGCGGTGCCGTAGACACTGCGCCGCTGGCGCTGCAGCTCCTGTTCGCGCTCGCGCACCGCGCGCACCTCCTGCTCCAGCAGTGACGGAGCGAAAGGCGGCGGGGCGCGGGCCAGCACCGGGCACGGGCCCTGTACGGCCGAGCGCGCCGGGCCCCCGGGCTCTGGCAGCCCCTGCGGGCCCGCGCCGCCCCCCGCCCCCGCCGAGGAGCCACTCCCCGCGGCGGCCTCGAAGAAGCGCTTGAGTTCGCCCAGCGGCTGAGGCGGCGACTGGGCGCGCGACTCCGCGGCCGCGGGGCGCGCCAGCGCCGCCTGCCGGTGGGCCTCCCGCTCGATGTCCCGCTGCATCTGCGCGCCCGCCCGCGCGCGCTCCAGGGCGCGCGGGAGCGTGGGGCCAGGACCCGGCAGGTTGAGCACTGGCCTCACGCGCAGCTCGACGAGTTCGCGGCCCGCGCGGCCCGAGCTCAGGCCCCGGCTCCGGCGCAGGCTCTCCTCGCGTTCGCAGCTGCGGCGGATTTCGCGCTCTATGGGAGTCTCCATGAACGGCTCCTCCGGGGGACGTTGGGGAGCCTCGGGGCACGGCGGAAAACGCAGGTGGGGGGCTTCCGAGCCTGACCTGGAGGAGGACGTCTCAGGCCCGGAGCGGGACGCTGCCCTGGATCCCCGCGCTTTGCGCTGCGGACGGCCCCGGGTCGTCTCTGCCTGGCTCAGGACTCAAAGCCCGCCGCTGTGGACAACCCAGGGCTCCCTGAGTCCTGCTCGAGGACTTCGCTTTCTTGCTCGAGGGTCTCCACGTCGTTTGCGGAGGGCTTGGGGACCTCGCCACCCGGCCTGGGACTTCAGTGTTCAGCTCCGCAACAGGCTCTGGGGCTTCGCTGTCTGGCCCTGGGGGCTCGTGGCCCCCCTCTTCAGACGACCCTAGGGTTTCGTTCTCCAGGGGGGGACCTCGGTGTCCAGGGTTGGAAGCAGCTCGGAAGCGTCAGTTCCCAGCCGGGATTTTGATGCCCAGAGTTAGGACACAGGGCCCTGTGAGGCACCTGTGGTCGCAGTCGCCGCCCGTTGGTTCCAAGGTGTCGCCCGCACCCGCCGCTTCTCTGACCCGCCTCTGGCCTCCAGGAACGGCCCCCAGGGGCAGGGCCGGGCACCGCCCCCGGCACCTGCCAGGAGGACTCCGGCGCCGCCCTCGAGACTAGGGCGCCTTGGTGGGGCACCCAGTTTCATCAACTAGCGCTCCCAGTCAGCTTCAGGGCACAGGACTTCTTGGAAGAGGGCTTCCCTAGACCCGGCCCCGCTACTGGGGGGCCACTCTGGGTGCTGTGTTCTCCTCCTGAGCGCACCCTGGCACTTTTTCAGAGCCATGTCCTCGTCAACGTCCAGGAGACTAAGCCCCAGCAGCGCGTCGGACTGGGGTTCTGAACCACCAGCCCCTTTATGAGGTGTACCCCCGAGGCCGTCTTTCCGGAACCCGGGCAGCCCCGCCCAGTCTGTGCCAGCCAGCGCGCAGCGACGCCCTAAGGCCCGGGCCCTCCCTCCGATCCAGCCTTGCAGCGCACAGCTCCGGCCCGAGAGGGCGCCAGGAGCCGCCTTACGGCGCGCCAGGGTCTCCCTCACAGTGCTTGGGCTCAGAGAGGTTCCCAGCCGCGCGCTACTGCCCCTCGCCAAGCTGAGAGGCGGCTTCCCTTCTCCCGGAAAAGTCCGCGAAGTGTCTGCTGCCAAGTGCACTCCCGGATTCAGGGAGGAGGGAGAGACGGACACAGCGCGCCCCGGGCCAAGCTTAGCGGTTGCGGTTGAAAGGCGGTCACCTTGGGCCCAGGCGCCTGGGGAGACCCAGACAGGGGGCAGGAGGCGTCCAGGGTAAGGGAAGAGATCAGCTGGGGCCGGATCATGCGGTTCGAGGACAGGATCGATGCCCTTGCACGGGCCGCCCTCCCCCAGGGACATTTTCCACTTTCCCTCTTATGGAAGCAGACTCTTCCCTTCTCCTGCCCCCAACCCCACCATTCTGGGGTGACCAGAAGAAAAGATATAGTTACCAGCAGGGCGCGGTGGCTCATGCCCGTGATGCCAGTACTGTGGGAGTCCGAGGCGGTCGGATCACCCTGAGGTCAGGAGTTCCAGACCAGCTTGCCCAGCATGGCGAAACCCACTTCTCTACTAAAAATACTATAAAACATTAGCCGGGCGTGGTGGCGGGTGCCTGTAATTCCAGCTACTCAGGAAGCTGAGGTGGGAGAATCGCTTGAACCTGGGAGGCGGAGGTTACAGTGAGCCAAGATTGTGCTACTGAACTCTGGCCTGAGTGACAGAGTGAGACCCTGTCTCAAAAAAAAAAAAAAAAAAAAAAGGCCGGGCCCGGTGGCTCAAGCCTGTAATCCCAGCACTTTGGGAGGCTGAGGTGGGTGGATCACCTGAGGTCAGGAATTCAAGACCAGCTTAGCCAACATAGCGAAAACCTGTCTCTACTAAAAACGCTAAAGATTAGCTGGGCATGATGTCGGGCACCTGTAATTCTAGCTACTTGGGAGGCTAAGGCAGGAGAACTGCTTGAACCTGGGAGATAGAGGTTGTAGTGAGCAGAGATCACGCCCTTGCACTCCAACCTGGGCAACAGAGCGAGACTCTGTCTCAAAAAAAAAAAAAAAAGTTTACCCCGTGTCCCCTCCCTCCAAGCCCCACTGGTGACGTCCCTCTTCTACAGGGAGCAACTCTACACAGCCCTCTCTAGGGCCGAGAGGTGGTAATAGCTGTCAGGTGTTGCTAACTCCAGGGTGTTTGTACTGTGCCTTGATGGTTTCCCTCCACCTTTATAAACTGTGTCTTAATAAGTTCTCATCAACTGCTGTGTTCAAGTGCACAATCTTTCCTACCAGGATTCCGGCTCTGACAAATTTCAATCTCACACTTTACACATCTAGGCTGTGCTGGGTGAGGTGGCTCACGCCTGTAATCCCATCACTTTAGGAGGCTGAAGCAGGTGGATCATTTGAGGTCAGGAGTTCAAGACCAGCTTGGTCAACACAGTGGAACCCTGTCTCTACTAAAAATAAAAAATAAAAAAATTAGTCTGATGTGATGGCATGGGCCTGCTACTCAGGAGGATGAGGCAGGAGAATCCCTTGAACCTGCCAGGTGGATGTTGCAGTGAGCCAAGATGGCGCCATTGTACCGCAGCCTGAGCAACAGAGTAGACTCAGTCTCAAAAACAAACAAAAATCTAGACTGGGTGCCGTGGCTCACGCCTGCAATCCCAGTGCTTTGGAAGGCTATGGCAGGAGGATCACTTGAGGCCAAGAGTTTGAGACCAATCTGGGCAACACAGCGAGACTCCACTTCTAAAAAAAATATGTATATCTTTATGCTGATGTTTCCGAAATTTCTCTTTAACTCTTGATGCTCCCTTAGGCTTTGGACTCACATCCAGCGGTCTCCCATCTAACAGACATGTCAGACTGAACACTTCCAAGACTGCATTCTGGGTGCTTCCAACCCTACTCCTCCTCACTGTGTGTGTCAATTTCAGCCATTCAGTTCTGCGTGCCAAAAAATACCCCAGGAGTCAGCCTCCAGTTCATCAGCAAACTCTTGACTCTGCCTCCAAACAGATTTTGGATTCATCCACTTCTCTCCATCCTTGTTCCAGCCACCTCCTCTCTCTCTCTCTCTCTCTCTCTCCTTTTGAGACAGAGTCTCACTCTGTTGCCTGGGCTGGAGTGCAGTGCAGGGCAGTGTAACCATCTTGGCTCACTGCAACCTCTGCCCCCCAGGGTTCAAGCGATTCTCCTGCCTCAGCCTCCCGAATACCTGGGATTACAGGTGTGCACCACCATGCCTGGCTAATTTTTGTAATTTTTTTAGAACATAAACTTTCTTTTTTTACATTTATTTATTTATTTATTTAACTTTAGGTGCATACTATATCTGGCATTTCTCCCCATGTTAACCCTCCCCACCCCCCGCTGTCTCTCCCCTACCCCAGACAACTGCCTCCAGTGTGTGATGCTCCTCTCCCTGAGTCCACATGTTCTTGTTGTTCAACACCCGCCTAGGAGTGAGAACATGTGGTGTATGGCTTTCTGTTCTTGTGTCAGTTTGCTGAGAATGATGGTTTCCAGATTCATCCAATTCCCTACTATTTTTTGTATTTTTAGTAGAGATGGGGTTTCACCATCTTGGCCAGGCTGGTCTTGAACTCCTGACCTCGTGATCCACCCATCTAGGCCTCCCAAAGTGCTGGGATTACAGGTGTGAGCCACCGCCCTCGGCCTCTCAAAGGTTTCCATCAAGTCACACCCAGTGGCTTGCTCCTAATCTTAGCTACCCTAGAGGCAGAGGCCGGAGGCTTGTTGAACCTGGGAGTTCAAGAACAGTCTGGGTGACATAGTGAGACCGGTATCTAAAATAATAATAACAAAAACAAATAAAACCAAGGCTCCCACCAAATTTAGAATAAAAATCCAAATTCCCCACCTTGCCCCGGAAGGCTCTGCCCACCTCTCAGGTCACATCTTCTCACACTGTCCCCTTGTGTCACTTCACTTCAGCTTCACACTTCCCTCCACCCCTCCCCCAACTGCACTCCCACCCCAGGGCCTTTGCACTGCGGTTGTCTCTGCTTGAAATGACAGTCACATGGCTGGTTCCTCTATTCAGGTCTCACCTCAGATGTCACTTCTTCGGGGAAGGGGTCTCTCATCACCCAGCCTACAACAGCACTCCTTCTTTAGCCCCATCCCAGGTATTCTCAATAACTCACCTTCAGTTACAGTTGTCACCAATTTTATTTTTATTTATCTTTTATTTATTTGTTTTATTTTTTGAGACGGAGTCTCGCTCTGACACCAGGCTGGAGTGCAGTGGCGCAATCTCGGCTCACTGCAACCTCTGCCTCCCGGTTCCAGTGATTCTTTCACCTCAGCCTCCCAAGTAGCTGGTACTACAGGCTCACACCACCACGCCCAGCTAATGTTTGTACTTTAGTAGAGATGGGGTGTCACCATGTTGGCCAGGATGGTCTCAATCTCTTGATCTCGTGATTTGCTTGCCTTGGCTTTCCAAAGTGCTGGGATTACAGGTGTGAGCCACTATTATTTTTTGAGACGGAGTCTTGCTCTGTTGCCCAGGCTGGAGTGCAGTGGCGCTATCTCGGCTCACTGCAACCTTTGCCTTCCAGCTTCAAGTGATTCTCCTGCCTCAGCCTCCTGAGTAGCTGGGACGTGTTAGCCAGGATGGCCCCGATCTCCTGACTTCGCAGGCGCAGTGGCTCATGCCTGTAATCCCAGCACTTTGGGAGGCTGACGCGGGCAGATCACCTGAGGTTGGGAGATCAAGACCAGCCTAGCCAACATAGTGAAACCCCATCTGTACAAAAATACAACAGTTAGCCAGGCATGATGGCAGGTGCCTGTAATCCCAGCTACTTGGGAGGCCGAGGCAGGAAAATTGCTTGATCCCGGGAGGTGAAGGTTGCAGTGAGCCGAGATTGCACCATTGCACTCCAGCCTGAGTGACAGAGGGAGACTCCATCTAAAAAAAAAAAAAAAAAAAAAAAGATAAAAATCCAGAATAGGTAAATCCATAGAGACAGACACAGACTGGTGGTTGCCAGGGACAGGAGGCAGGGGAAGGAGTAGTGACCTCATCCCTTTGGGTGGATGAAAATGTTCGGAACCAGACAGTGGTGAGAATTGTGAATGCACTAAATGTCACTAATGGTAAATTTTGTTATGTGTGTTTTACCATGATGAAAAAGTAATTTTAGAAAATGGGCCAAGCAAGGTGGCACATGCCTATAATCCCAGCACTTTGGGAGGCAGAGGCAGGCAGATCACCTGAGGTCAGGAGTTTGAGAACAGCCTGACCAACATGGAAAAACCCTTTCTCTACTAAAAATACAAAATTAGCTGGGCATGGTAGCGCGTGCCTGTAATCCCAGCTACTCGGGAGGCGGAGACAGGAGAATCACTTAAACCCGGGAGGCAGAGGTTGTGGTGAGCCAAGATCGTGCCACTGCATTCCAGCCTGGGCAATAAGAGCTTGAACCTGGGAGGTGGAGGTTGCGGTGAGCTGAGATGGTGCCATTACACTCCAGCCTGGGCAATAAGACCGAAACTCCATCTCAAAAAAAAAAAAAAAGTTCTCCACCAGCTACGGTGGCTCATGCCTGTAATTCCAGCACTTTGAGAGGCCAAGATGGGAGGATGGCTTGAGCCCCAGAGTCTGAAATTGCAGTGAGCTATAACTGCACAACTACATTTCAGCCTGGGCAACAGAGCGAGACCCCCACCTCTAAAAAAATAGAGGAGTATCCAGCCTGTGTGCTGTGCAATAGTGCTCACATGTTGGTGAGACTTGGCTGGCAGTCAGACTCAAGATGATAGGGGTGCCAAGTAGAAATGCCATTCTCTGGTGGCAGGGGGAGTCACCAACTCAGCAATCTCGCCCCCATGCCGGACCACGACTGTGAGAAAGCGTGTTTTCCGGGAGGCAGCCGAGTGCAACAAAGAGGCCAGAGGCTGGTGAATAATTTATCAGGACAGCTGATAGTACCTCCCCAGAACTGCCCTCCGGCCCCCAGCCCCCCTCTCTGGTGTGCCTCCCGCCTCCCTGCCCCAAACCCGCTGGACCAGCTCTCCCGGTGCCCGCCTGCTGCCCCCCCCCCCCACTCCAGGCAGCCAAGTCATAGCCTCCGGGGCACCTTCAGGAAAGCGGGTGGTGGGTCCAGAATTTGGAGACCAGAAAGTGAACTTCTGGGCAGAGATGGCCCTGCAGAGTCAGGTGTGGTCTCCAGCCACACCCATGTAAGTGTCAGGGGATCAGGGGGGTTGGTGGGCAGGGCCTTGGGAGGGGCTCATGGGGGATGCTGGCCTTGTCTGGGAGCCGTGAGCTTCAGTAGCCTCTCGTGAGGGGACCCGGGGAGTGGAGGAGATGGCTAGCCAATTCCATAGGCTCCTCAATGTCACCGTTCCCTAGAGAGTCATGGGGTCGAGGGACATAGACTCCCCCTGCCCCTTTCTCTTCGGGGATTTTCCGCTGCCAGGGCTGAGAACCCAAAGTGCAGCCAGGGGGCGGGGCTGTTGCTGTAGTTTGGGGAGTGGGGAAAGTCGGGGCCACTGGGTTCCACGTTTTGCCTTTAGAATCACCCCTTCAGTGTCCAGGGTGGGAGAAAAAGCTTGAATCAAACAGAATTGAAACGCTCCCAGCCTGGGAAGGACAATGGCAACGTGGCAAGGATGACCTCCTTCATGAAATGGCCACCAACTGTCGAGGGTGGCCAGAAGCCCAGGCCGCCCACGTTTTTCTTCCAGAGTTAGAGATCAGCAAGATGGAATGGGCTGTGTGAAGTCTTTTCACGTCTGAGGGGTGAGAGCGTTTCCAGGTTAGAAGGGTAGAGGTTTGGAAAGAGTTCTGGAAAGGGGGCTCCCCCCATACTGGGGACCCCATTTCGGCTCCTCACCCTTCTAGGTCCTCCATTGCATTATTCACCAACTGCAAACCTGGTTGCTTAGCAATGGGAACTCGATCCCCCCCAGCAAGGAAGAGGCAGGGAGATTACATCTTGGGGGTAGGACAGGAGAGCTGGGGACTTCAGCCCTCCCCGAGGGGCAAAGCTATGAGCACGGGATCTCGGCTTCCTTTGGGTTGTCCTGCAAAGCATGACTTCATGGCCAGGCGCGGTGGCTCACGCCTGTAATCCCAGCACTTTGGGAGGCAGAGGCAGGTGGATCTCTTGACATCAGGCGTTTCAGAGCAGCCTGGCCAATATGGTGAAACCCCATCTGTGCTAAAAATAAAAAAAATTATCCGGGCATGGTGGTACGCACCTGTAGTCCTAGCTACTCGGGAGGCTGAGGCAGGTGAATCACTTGAACCCAGAATGTGGAAGTTGCAGTGAACCAAGATTGAGCCATTGCACTCCAGCCTAAGTGACAGAGTGAGACTCTCCCTCAAAAAATAAATCAATAAAAAGCATGACTTCAATTCAATTCATTGCCCCAAACAGCATTCAGGGTCCCCAGGCTGATCTCTTAGCTACCATGATAGGGGTTCCTGAACCTGTACCTCCCCTCCCAACTGTATTCTCAGTATTTGGGATCTGAGAGCTTCAAGGTCTGATCTTGGCTCCATGACCTTGGACAAATCTAGCTGCTGCCACTTCTCAGAGCCTCAGTTTTCCCATCCGTAAAATGGACACATTCATGGCCGGGCGTGGTGGCTCATGCTTGTAATCCCAGCACTTTGGGAAGCCAAGGCAGGTGGATTACCTGAGGTCAGGAGTTTGAGACCAGCCTGACCAACATGAAGAAACCCAATCTCTACTAAAAATACAAAATTAGCAGGGCATAGTGGTGCATCCCTGTAATCCCAGCTACTTGGGAGGCTGAGGTAGGAGAATCGCTTGAACCTGGAACGTGGAGGTTGCAGCAAGCCGAGATCGCACAATTGCACTCCGGCCTGGGCAAAAAGAGTGAAACTCTGTCTCAAAAAAAAAAAAATGAACGCATGCATACGGCTTACCTCCTAAGGTCATTGGGAATTACTCAGTGAATTACATTAAGTAGAGTCTTTCCCACAGCACCTGGCATGTGTTATGGGCTGGCTAATGGTGGCTGATTTTGTTCTTAGCTGGAATGTCAACTCAGCAAAGAGTCGACGCCACTATGTTATGATAGAAGGGGGAGGCAGAGGTGGCTGTGGGAGTGCCCCACGGGGCTTCCGCTGGGCACTGAGAACATTATATATAGTAAGTGCATTTATGCCATCATGGTGTGGCTTAGGAAGGTCTTGGAGGTCCCGGCCGGAGTTTGGGCAATGAGGCTTACCCAGGAGGGTGACTGTTCAATTAATAAATGTTTGAGGGCTTGGTCAGCGCCCGTCCATGTTGGAGATGACAGGCAGAGAGACGTCACCTTCTAGATACTGGCCTGTGACACATCATCAACGTAGTGACACAGTTGGGGGTGCTTAATGCATGTCTGTGTTGATAAATAAGGTTGGTGTGTCCTGATTGTATTTTTGCTGTAAAAAAAGAAAAAAAGAAAGGGAGAAAAAAAAAGGTTGGTGTGACACTGACTGTCCCCAATCATCTTGCAGTATGACAGTCACCTTCTAGCTTCCAGGGGGAGCCTAAGTGGGTCCAGAGGCCACTCTGAAGTAGCTATGCTTTGAGAAAGAGAACGACAGGGGAATCACGAGTTAAACCTTGAACAGCAAGTCCCCCTCCTCCCAGCTCAGAGTCCAGTCCTGGACAGAGTGACCCAGTGACCCTTGTCCCCAGAGAGGGGGGGTTGGCAGGTGGAGGAGGCAGATCTGGAGTTACCATGGCAACAATGGGAGGGTCAGAGACTCCCTCAAACCCCCAGCACTTGAGAAATTCTGAGTAGGAGCTGAGGTCCAGACAGAGTGTGGGACTGAGAAGAGAAAGAGACACACAGCCTGTAAGGGGCCTGGTGGCATTTGAGAGTTTCTGCAGATCGGACTGGGGATGATTATTATGATTAATCATACATATTCTTTATCATGGAATTATATACATTCTGATTATTAATAAACAATAGGACTATTTTTGTACCACTGTATTCTAAACCTTTCTGTGCATGAATAGTTCCTTGCAAGAGTCCTCCGAGATTGGGGTTGGTGAGGGTGGGGTGGTCAAGCTATCCTTGCCCACTTTACAGGTGAGGAAACTGAGGCTGAGAGAGGCAATACCACATTTAGAAAGGACTTTAGTCTCGCCGGTCATGGTCGCTGCTCAGTTCCCCTCCCAAGACTCTCAACCCCTGCACAAACTCTTCTCAGGTGCAAAGGGAAAACAGAGGCAAAGCGCTGGGCTCTGAGTGGTTTCCACACTGCTCAGGGATCTTGGCCAAGACAGGGGTGTTCAAGAGGGGTACTGCCTCTGGCAGCCCCTTGAAGCCCCTGCCTTCTCCCCACAGGCCTATGGCGGAGAGCTCCCTCTACCGGCAGCGGCTAGAAGTCATCGCTGTAAGTGAGGCCCTCCCTGCGCCCTGGGCACCCCAAAGTCTGCCCCATGCTCCCTCCTTGTCTCTCCGTCATCCCTGCAGAGAGCACTCTCAGCTCCAGCCTCGCCCAGAGCTCCGCACATCCATTCTCAGCCCCCTCTACCCCCCAGTTCTTGTCTGGTCACTACCACCGTCAGAATGGGGGACTGTGGCCCCCGCATTTCCAGAACCTGCACTATCTGATGCCTCATTCCTGAATCCTAGCCTCCCAAACACCCCATGCCTGAGCCCCATCTCTCGGACCGTCGTTTATCAGATGCTATCTCTCAAATCTGCCTACCTCAGAGCCGCCATCCTGAAAGTCCTTTCTTGGGGTGAGGACTTTCATCTCTGACTTCCTTGTCTCTCTGAACTCCCCCATCTCTGGGTCTCTACTACTCTGATCCTATCTCTGTCCCCCATTCTTCTCTCCTACATCTCCCTGAACCCCAACTTTCTGCACCCACTTCCATGCCCCATCTATCCATACCGCCACCTCTGAACCCCACATTTCTGACTCCCACACCTGCATGCCATCTCCCTGATCCCCATCTCTACACCTCAGTATCTCTAGACCCCCATCCGCACCCCCATCTCAATAGCATTCTCCTTTTGATTGCCATCTCTGCACCCCATCTCTCTGGACCCCCATGGCTGCACCCCCATTTTGGACCCCATCTCACTAGCAACTTCATTTTTATCCCCAACTATGGAACCCCATCTCCCAGCACCCCATCTCTCTGTACCCCACCTCTCTATACCCACTTCTGTCCCCTATCTCTCTGCACTCAACTCCTGTACCCCGTCTATCTTCACCCCATTCCTGTACCCCACCTCTCTATACCCACTCCTGTACCCCATCTATCTTCACCCCACTCCTGTACCCCATCTCTGCACCCCACTCCTGTACCCCATCTCTCTGCACCCCTACCTCTGTACCCCATCTCTCTAGATTCCATCTGTACACTCCCGTTACTCTGGCCTCCCATGGCTGCACCCCGATTGCGGATCCCCATCTCTCTAGTACCCTCCCCCCACTTCGGAGTCTCGCTCTGTCGCCCAGGCTGGAGTGCAGTGGTGCGATCTCCGCTCGCTGCAACCTTGGCCTCCCGGGTTCACGCAATTCTCCTGCCTCAGCCTCCCCAGTAGCTGGGACTACAGGCGCGCGCCACCACGCCCAGCTAACTTTTGTATTTTTAGTAGAGCCGGGGTTGGCCAGGGTAGTCTGGAACTCCTGACCTCAAGCGATCTGTCCGCCTCGGCCTCCAGATGTCCGGTGATTACCGGCTCGAGCCACCGCGCCCGGCCGCACCCTCCCTTTGATCCCCATTTTTGTGAACCTCACATCTTGGAGCTCCCCAGCTCTGCCCCTCCTTCGGATCCCTGTCCCAAGGCCCCACCCCCTATACCCCCCATCCGCGGACCCCCATTGGGCGCAGGCGAGGCCTCCGCAGCATCCCGGGCGCGGCCGGCCCCGCCCCCGCCCCGCCCTCCCCCCCCCCCCCAGGTCCGCCCGCCGCTGAGTCAGCGTCTCCGCAGCCCCCTCCCCGCCCTGGGCGCAGACCCGCGCTGGGCCACCCCAGCCGGGCTCGCTGCCTCGGGATCCCCGCGGAGGAGGGAGGGGAAAGGGAGGGAAGAGGAGGTGGTGGAGGCCGCGCCCGGCCGGCGGGCAGCTCCGGGTCCTCTGCGCAGGAGAAGCGGCGGCTGCAGGAGGAGATCCGCGCCGCGCGCCGGGAGCTGGAGGAGGAGAAACTCCGCGTGGAGCGGCTCAAGGTTGGAGGCGGGCGAGGGCGCCTGCCTAGCCTGGGGCATGAAGTGGGGGGTGTCTTTGCAAGTCAGTTTAGGGGACGATAGGATCCTGTATTCAATTTTGGGGGGACAGCGGGCAGTTGGGGGCGTTGGTTCCAGCTTGGGCGGGGCGGGGGGTGTCTTTCCCAGCCTGGGAGGGACGAAGTGGGGTGGTCTTGGGGACATTTGTTGCGTTTGGGGAAAAGTCCGGGACAGGGTTGGTGCTTTGTCCCAATTTGAGGGAGATGGAGACGAGCCCGAAGTCCCGCTTTGGGGTAGGGAGGGGCCAGTAGGGAGGGACATTGATTTCACTTTGGGAATGCCTGTTTCATTATGGAAGGGATATGGGAACAAGGGGAGTCTGCCCACCTGCAGCGCTGGGGGGCACTATGGCCCTGTATGCCAGCTTGATGTATGTCGCAGCTAAGTGGTTGTGAGGTGGTGGTAAGATACCTGCCCAGCCTGCAGCCATCGGGAGGGGACTTTACATGGAGCGGGGCAGTCTGTATGCCCAGCCCCGACGCCCTTCCCCTGCCCAGAGGAAGTCTCTTCGGGAACGTTGGCTAATGGACGGGGCAGCTGCAGAGCCAGAGCCGTCGGAGGACCCCACCTCGAAGGACCCCCAGTCACCGGAGGGCCAGGCTCAGGCCCGAATCCGGAACCTGGAAGACAGTTTATTCACGTGAGTGGAGACCTGCTAGCGATGCCCGAACCCTGCCCTAGCTGGGTGAGATCGAGACCCTGGGCACGTTCAAGGAGGTGGTGGCTTGAGCCTGGGAGCTCAAGGAACCTGGGGGCCCAGCTCCTGGCAGCCCTCTCTCTTCTTCAGACTCCAGTCCCAGCTGCAGCTGTTGCAAAGTGCTTCCACCGGTGCCCAACACAAGCCCTCGGGCAGGCCCAGCTGGCGAAGACAGGTGAGGGAGGGATGGGGAGTGGGTTGGGGGGTAGTGGCCAGCAGGCATCAAAGCGGGACATGGAATGGAAGCGCATCTTTCTCCAAGTGCAGCCTGGCCACCAGGTCTGCATTCGACCCACCTCCTGCTGTTACTTTGCTTGGAGGTCTTGGGCAAGTCCACTTCCTTTCCCAGGCCTTAGTTTCCCCATCTCTAAAATGGGAATAACAGCAGTACAAACCATCCGGGCGTGGTGGCTCACGGCTGTAATCCCAGCACTTTGGGAGGGCAAGCAGGTGGATACAAGGTCCGGAGTTCAAAACCAGCCTGGCCAATATGGCGAAACCCTGTCTCTACTAAAAATACAGTAATTAGCCGGACTGGCACCGTGTGCCTGTAATCCCAGCTACTCAGGAGGCTGAGGCAGAAGAATCACTTGAACCAGGAAGGCAGAGGTTGCAGTGAGCTGAAATCATGCCACTGCACTACAGCCAGGGTAACATAGTGAGACTCCATCTCAAAAAATAAAAATAAAAAATAAACAGTACAAAAAGAGCTGTTGGGAGGACTGGTGAGATCATAGCTTAGCACTAGTAACAGCAACAAGGAAAGGCTTATTTTTTCTTTTATTCCTTTTTTTTGAGACAGGGTCTCACTCTGTCCCCCAGGCTGGAATCATCTTGGCTCACTGCAACCTCTTTCCTCTGGGTTCAGGTGATTCTCCTGCCTCAGCCTCCCAAGTAGCTGGGATCACAGGTGCCTGCCACCACGCCCAGCTAATTTTTGTATTTTAAGTAGAGACGGGGTTTCACCATGTTGGCCAGACTGGTCTCCAACTCTTGACCTCAAGTGATCCACTCGCCTTGGCCTCCCAAAGTGCTGGGATGACAGGTGTGTGCCACCGTGCCCAGCCAGGAGAGTTTCGATATATGCTTACTAATATAGCCACATGAGAAATTCAGAACATGTGGGCAGGCTGAACATGGTGGCTCATGCCTGAAATCCCAGCACTTTGGGAGGCCAAGGTGGATAGATCATTTAAGGTCAGGAGTTGGAGAACAGCCTGGCCAACATGGCGAAACCCTGTCTATACTAAAAACACAAAAAAATTAGCCGGATGTGGTGGCAGGCGACTGTAATCCCAGGTGCTCGGGAGGCTGAGGCAGGAGAATAGCTTGAACCGGGAGACAGAGGTTGCAGTGAGCTGAGATCACACCACTGCACTCCAGCCTGGATGACACAGGGAGACTCAGTCTCAAAAAAACAAAAACAAAAACAAATTATGCCGAGCATGGTGGCTTACGCCTGTAATCCCAGCACTTAGGCAGGTGGATCACGAGGTTAGGAGTTCAAGACCGGTCTGGCCAACATGGTGAAACCCGGTCTCTACTAAAAATACAAACATTAGCTGGACAGGGTGGTGCATGTCTGTAGTCCCAACTACTCAGGAGGCTGAGGCAGGAGAATCACTTGAACCTGGGAGGCAGACGTTGCAGAGCCAAGATGGCGCCACTGCACTCTAGCCTGGGCAACACAGCAAGACTCCGTCTCAAAAAAGATTAATTTGTATTTATGTTTATTGGAATGTAAGTGCCAATGGCAAAAGGATTAAGTGTCCCTTGTCCATATAACATCAGTAACTGGCAAAGTGGGCCCCTAATACAGGAGACTGGCTATGTGAATGCAGTATTGTTTAAACACCGACTGTGTGCAAGGCCCTGGAACATAGGGTGATAAGATAGATGAGGAGGGCAGAGAGGCTGAGGGTGGGGATGAGGGCCAGCCTGACCTTGTCTCCGCCATGCCTGCAGGGTCACCGTCCTCTCTCCCAGCCCATCATCGAGGCAGGTTCTGCAGGTAAGTGTGGGAGCCTCTAGATCTGGGGACTAGGTCACCCCAGAGCCTGGGTGTGAGCAGGTGACCCCAAGGGAGCGTGGATGGGGGTCCTCTTGTTCCCTCTTCACCCTGTTTTCCCTTTTGTCCTCTCCCCTCTGCCTCTGACTCCCCAGGCCAGACTGATCTGAACAAGAGAACCTCCCTGCCAGCCGGACTAGTGGGCACGCCGCCAGAGTCCCCCTCTGAGCCCAGGGAGGATGTCTTGGGGTTTCTGCCAGCCCCAAGGCAGGTCCCCAGGGCAGCAGGGGACTCCTCAGAAGCCAATGGCCCCTGTCCCGGTCTGAGCCCCGCTCCAGAGCAGGGGCCAGGTCAGAGGGCAGCGCCATCCCAAGGGCAGGTGGCCGAGGCCAAAGGAGGGGGCATGGTGAGTGTGGTGTGGGAGGGGCTGAGGGCCACGGAGGACTGTGCCACAGGGGCCACGGGCCCCGAGCTGGAGGCTAAGGTGGAGGAAGTGGTGCTGGAAGCCATCGGAGACAGGAAGAGAGCTGGCAGCCTGGAGCTCCCAGGCTGGGTGAAGGAGGACAGGGGCATTGTGGAGGTGGTCTGGGAGGGGGTGGGCGGCAGCAACACAGAGGCCATGGGGGAGGTAGGCAGGGTCCCCGAGGCCTTGCAGACCAGCTTGCCTAGGCTTCAGGAGAGATTAGAGGTGGCAGCTTCCAGAGAAGGGGAAGATGTTCCCAGGGGCAGCCCTGAGGGTGATGGGCTGAGGGGCTCTGGAGGAGAGGAGGGGTCCTTCATTTGGGTGGAGAGAGTGACCCTCAGCGAGGAGTGGGAGGAGCTGCTGGTGGAAGGTTTGGAAGGGCCAGTGGTGGCAGGGAGGGAGGGAAGCGATGAGAGTCCGTCAGGCGCTCAGGGGGCTGTGACAGGAGGAGGCGAGGAGTCCTGGGAGGCAGAGAAGAGGAAAGCGGAAGAATCCATGGGCATAGCAAGTGAGGAAAAGCCAGAGACAGACAGGGAGGGAGCGGAGATGTTGCCGGTGGTAGAGAGGAAAGGAGAGGAGTGGAAGTTGGAGCTGGAGAGCAGAGGAGGTGCAGAAAAGCTGGGGACAGAGAGGGAAGGAGTGGAGGAACCACTGGGCGTAGAGAAAAAAGAGGTTGAGGGAGATTGGAGGACAGAGAAGGAAGGAGGTGAGGAAGAGCGAGGGGCACAGGAGGAGGAGGCAGAAGCACCACGGAGAGTAGAGAAGAAAAGAGGTGAGGAAGGGCCAGAGGCAAGCGAAGAACCACTGCAGGCAGAGAGAAAGGGAGAGGAGGAACCACTGCAGGCAGAGAGAAGGGGAGGGGAGGAACCACTGCAGGCAGAGAGAAGGGGAGGGGAGGAACCACTGGAGGCAGAGAGAAGGGGAGGGGAGGAACCACTGGAGGCAGAGAGAAGGGGAGGGGAGGAACCACTGGAGGCAGAGAGAAGGGGAGGGGAGGAACCACTGGAGGCAGAGAGAAGGGGAGGGGAGGAACCACTGCAGGCAGAGAGAAGGGGAGGGGAGGAACCACTGCAGGCAGAGAGAAGGGGAGGGGAGGAACCACTGGAGGCAGAGAAGACCCAAGGGGTCAAGGAAGGTCTGAGTCTAGAGCGACAGGAGTCCAGGGAAGGAAGTGAATCCCAGGCAGAGGAGGGGAGTGAGGCAGGGACTCCCCTCGAGGCTAACACGGAGACACGGCCAGAGGAGGAAGGACCTCAGCCTCAGGAGAAGCCGGTAGGAGCCCTGGAGGAGGGAGTGAAGTCGAAAACCGCTGCTGAGGGCCAAGTCCCCTTGGGGGATGCCACACCCCTTCTGGCTGAGACCCCAGCCCCAGAACAGCATGCTGAATGCCAGCCACTGCTTCGGGGAGAGGGGCCCAGCGCCAACCCCAGTGCCCACCCTGTGCCCACCTATGCACTTGCCCGGCTGCATGAGGCATCTGCCCCCACCGAGAGTGAAGAGGCCAGTGGCCCTAAGCAAAAGACGTGCCAGTGTTGTGCGGTCATGTGAGCCCGTGCCCCTCCACCCCACATCCAGCTCCTCTCTCAGCTACCTCGGCCTCTTGGCACCCAGAAGAAGATCCCAGGCGCAGACAGGGCACCACAGGACTGGCCATGGCACCTGGGAGCCAGCTAGCCCGAACATCCACCTACACCTGGGCTTCCGGACCCCTTGCCCATTGCCTGTGACCCTGGCCGCCTCCTGCAATGAAGCCTTTATACTTGAAAATAAAAGGTGAAAGCACTCAGACAGCTTGCACGTGTGTGTAGTCAGCACAGAATCACTGCATCATCTCTTGGTGGGAAATTTGAGGGCTAAACCCTGCTCCAGTGAAGGAATATGAATCAGGGAGAGTATAGATTGAGTTGCTGTAACAAAAAAGACCTCAAAGCTACAGTAGCTATAAAAATATAAACGTTTATTTTTCTCAGAGGTTCTGATCCATGTGGTGATTCAGGGATTCAGGTTCCTTTCCATTTCTTCCCCCACCTTCCCCTTGGGCACGGTCAAAACTGGAACCTAGGCATGTGTTATGTTCCAGCTCATAGGGAAGGAAAAAGTAGGGGGGAGCCCCCACCCAGACTCTGTGTTGGCACATGTCACTTCTGACCACATTCTGTTGTCAAGAACTCAGTCCATGCACCTGGCTGCTAGGGAGCTGAGGTGGTGCCCAAATATGGGGCACCACCTTTTCTTTTTTCTATTTTCTTTTTTTTTTTTGCTTTTATTTATTATTTATTTTTGAGATAGGGTCTCATTTTGTCACCCAGCCTGGAGAGCAGTGGTACACACCACAGCTTTCTGCAGCTTCAAATTCCTCAGCTCAAATGATCCTCCCGCCTCAGCCTCCCAAGTAGCTGGGACTACAGGTACATGCCACCATGCCCAGCTAATTGTTTTTGTTTTTGATGTTTTGTTTTTGTAGAGAGGTGTCTCACTATGTTGCCCAGGCTGTGTCTTGAACTCCTGGACTTAAGTGACCCTTCCACCTTGGCCTGCCAAAGTGCTGGGATTACAGACTTGAGCCACTGTGCTGGGCTCCAAACACAGTTCTGTTAGAGCGGAACAGATTCTGGCAGGCAGCTGCCACTCTCAAATTTCATGTATTTTCCTTTGCTCCATCTTCCATCCATGTCTTCCCCAGGGGGGCCAAGCCCTTCTCTGTAGGAGTCCTTCAGTCCCAGCTCTGCTTGGCTGGATGTCCTCAGGCAAGTGACTCAGCCTCTCTGAACCCTCAGTGTCTTCAACAAGAGGGCTAATCCAGGACTGGGGTGCAGCCTGCATGAGCACCCCTCTGGCCTGGCTGGCAGCCCCCAGCCAGAGGTGAGGTTCAAGCCAGAACTTGCGGCCTGAGGGGCCCCAGCAGCCCCAGCTCCTCGGGCGTGGGCAGGAAGTGCTTCTCATACCCAGAGTCAAGCGGGGCGGTGTTCTGGGGGTGCTGGGGGGACTCCATAACCTGCGGTGGTGGCTCCATCTCCTCCACTTCCAGTATGGGGAAGTCCCCAAGGGACTGGGCCTCAGGGACTTGCTGGGAAGAGATGAACCTCTAATCTTGCCCCAGCCTCTGCCCACACCTCACCCCTCCCTACTGCTCCAGGACTCCCCGATCTCTGCCCTGACAGGCCGGCCGCTGGACTCACCTCCATGTGGGGCTGGCCTGAACTGCTGTTGGCAGGATCAGGAACCTTCTCCCAGACCCAGCGGGGCAGCATCTTGTGCCGTAGGTGGTGGCACCTGGCAAGCCGGGAGGAGTCAGGGCATCGGATCCAGGTGGCCAGATGCCCCAGCCCAGGATGCAGGGGCCATGAATGTGACTGAGCCCCGAGGCCTCCCTTCAAGCCCCATGGAAGCTCAGCAAAATGGCCAGTTGCCTTCCCCATATGGGCAGAAATGCACACATCCAACAGCCTCACCTTCCAGAGGTGGCCAGCATCAGGCCACAGCCCATCAGGAACAAGGCCCACAAGAACGGGAGGCCCAGCAGAACTTTCCACCTCAGGGTGTTATCTGGTAGGGTAGGGAAGAGATCATTCTTAATTTTATTTGATTTGATTTTTATGTTTTTGAGATGGAGTCTCGCTCTGTCGCCAGGGTAGAGTGCAGTGGCATGATCTCGGCTCACTGCAACCTCTGCCTCCGGGGTTCAAGCGATTCTCCTGCCTCAGCCTCCCAAGTAGCTGGGATTACAGGCACCCACTACCACACCCAGCTAATTTTTGTATTTTTTGTTTGTTTTAAAACTTTTTTTTATAACTTTTGTATTTTTAGTAGAGACGGGGTTTCACCATGTTGGCCAGGCTGGTCTCAAACTCCTGACCTCATGACCCGCCTGCCTAGGCCTCCCAGAGTACTGGGATTACAGGCATGAGCTGCCACTCCTGGCCAAGAAATAATTCTTAATTTTTTATTTTATTGTATTTATTTTATTTTTATTTTTGAGACGGCGTCTTGCCCTGTCGCCCAGGCTGGAGTGCAGTGGCACGATCTTGGCTCACTGCAACCTCCGCCTCCCGGGTTCAAGTGATTCTCCTGTCTCAGCCTCCCAAGTAGCTGGGATTACAGCTGCATGCCACCACACCCGGTGTGTTTAATTTTTGTGATTTTAGTAGAGACAGGGTCTTGCCATGTTGGCCAGGCTGGTCTCAAACTACTGACCTTGAGTGATCCACCCACCCCAGCTCCCAAAATGCTAAGATTACAGGCATGAGCCACTGCACCTGGCAATTCTTATCTTTTTTAAAGACAGGGTCTTGCTCTGTTGCCTAGACTGGAGGGCAGTGGTGTAATCAGCCTACTGCGGCCTCCAACTCCTGGGTTCCAGTGATCCTTGAGCCTCAGCCTCTCCAGGAGCTGGGACCGCAGGTGTGTGCTGCCACATCCAGCTAATTGTTTTATTTTTTGTAGAGATGGGGTTTCACTATGTTGTCCAGGCTGGTCTCGAACTCCTGGGCTCAAGTGATCCACCTGCCTCAGCCTCTCAGAGTGTTAGGATTACAGGCATGAGCCACTGCGCCTGGCTTCCATGTAATGACTCCAAACGCTGCCTCTACCCCCGTGGAGCCCATCCCCTCCCTGTGGCAACCCCATCCCAACCCCCCTACCTGGTAGGTGAAGCCGGAGGATGGGACCAGGGGGCCCTTGTCCAGCAATGGTGGATGCCGTCACCCACAGCTCACAGGGACCCCAAGGAAGGTCAGGCAGGGTGACACTCTGTGTGTGGCAACTCACTGGAGAACACAAAGAAGTTGGGGAGGTGGTCAAGCCTACCCCGGGGCCTTTGCACGTGCTCTTCCCACTGTCTGCAATGCAGCATCCTCTCCCAGGTATCTGATTAGCTCCCTCCTCATCTTTTTTTTGAGATGGAGTTTCAGCTTACCTCGATCTCAGGTTACCACAGCCTCCACCTCTGGGTTCAAGCGATTCTCCCGCCTCAGCCTCGCGAGTAGCTGGGATTACAGGTATGAGCCACCACGCCCGACCCCTGGCTTCATTCTCTACTCAGCACTATCACCATCTCATACACTGCTTAGATATTATTTTGTTTTGTTTTTTGTTTTTGTTTTTAGACAGTCTCTCACTCTGTCACCCAGGCTGGCGTGCAGCGGGACAATCTTGGCTCACTGCAACCTCCGCCTCCCAGGTTCAAGCAATTCTAGTGCCTCAGCTTCCCTAGTAGCTGGATTACAGGGCTGCACCACCATGCCTGGCCAATTTTTGTGGTTTTAGTAGAGATGGGGTTTCACCATCTTGGCCAGGCTAGTCTGGAGCTCCTAACCTCAAGTGATCTTCCCGCCTTGGCCTCTCAAAGTGCTGAGATTATAAGCGTGACCCACCATGCCCAGCCTTCTATATATATTTTTTAAATAATATATAAATATTCTATATATATATGTACATATATGTATAACTTTTATCTTAGTGAGATGGAAAATTTTGCAAGGTACAATCAAGGCAAGGTAATTATGTTAAACATAAATCTATCAGTTAGACAAAAACTGAAGGGCTGATGTATTTGGGGGAGAAATGACACCAAAGACTCTAAGGAAAAAATATATATGCCAGATAAATTTAAACAAGATTGGCAAAATAGACCAGGTGCAGTGGCTCACACCTGTAATCCCAGCACTTTGGGAGGCTGAGGTGGACAGATCACCTGAGCTCAGGAGTTTGAGACCAGCCTGGCCAACATGATGAAACCCTGTCTCTACTAAAATACAAAAATTTGCCGGGTGTGATGGTGGGCGCCTATAATCCCAGCTAATTGGAAGGCTGAGGCAGGAGAATCGCTTGGACCTGGGAGGCGGAGTTTGCGGTGAACTGAGATCATGCCACTGCATTCCAGCTTGGGTACAGAGCGAGAATCCGTTTCAAAAAAAAAAAAAATGGGAACCATACCATGGAGTTTTGTCATCCTTTTATCTTTTTCACTAATAAAATATGACAAGCATCTTTCAATGTCAATAAATATAGATTGTCATCTTCATTTTTAATGGCCAAATGAGACTCCATTACATTGACAGCCAAGAGGGAATTGACGACACCATGTATGGTCCCTGGGCCAAAGAGGCCCACGTGGGGACAAGGAGTGGGGCTGACTGATGAGTGGGTCTTGTGGGGGCTGGGAGGACAGGCTGGCAGGCAGGGAAGCTCACCATTCATGCAGACGGAGGGGCGGTTTCCACTTTGTGAACACAAGGTGTAGTGGGTGAGGTGGCCCCGAAGCTGGTGCCTTGGGACCTCTCCCCATGCTATGGCAGGGGTCCCTGGAGGGGCATCTTGGAGTCGCCAAAGCATTGGCCCCACTAGGGGTGCTGGGGAGGAAGGCAGTAGGTCAAGGTTGGCCTGGGTTCCAGGACCCTCCCCCATCCTCCAGCCCCACTTCTTACCTAGTTCCTCTCTGAACCCCCAGACGGGGGGTGCAGAGGCCAAGCCCGAAGCAGAGACTGTGGTCACAGTGATCCGGTAGGGGACCCCGGCCGTGAAATTCCCTGAGTGACAAAGGAACAAAGACCCGTTAGAGTTGGCTCTCCTTCCCCTGCTCATTTCCTACTTGCTAGGTGTCTTCATTTGGGGTCCCCAGAAGGACACTCTCAGATAAGGATTTGAGTGTCAGTCATTTATCTGGGAGATAATCCCAGAAAATCCCAATAGGGCAGTAGGGAAGTGAAACGGGGAAGAAACAAATTTTCACTGTGGACAACTGAGATGCAGTCCCACGGGGGAACCTCTTGGGGATAGCAGAGAGCAGG